TATATATATATATATATATATATATAGCTTTTGTTTTCACTTTGCTGTGATTAAAGAAATAAAGATTATAGTAATATAATGTATGTGAAACTGTTTAGTTTTGATCGTTGTTGAAACAAAATGTATGGAAAACTTGAATATAAATATAAAAAAGTTTCACAATATAAAAAAATATAAGAAAAGTAAACATTTTAGATGCATGTCCTGAGATTGGAGTTGACGAGATAGTTTTGGAGATCAGAAAAGATGCACTTGGTACTATGATCCAGGTTAGACTAGAAAAATTAGTGTCACTTTTGTTTTTTAAGCTAAGAATTTTCCAAGAATCAATTTTTAGATTTGTTTCGGGACGGCTTTTATTACTTTCAAACCATTTGAGAAATTCCATTTGTCCAACAATGGTTTATTGACGTTAGAAACATTTTCCGTTCGTGGTCAGGCTCTTTTTTCGGATGTGGATGTTCCATGGGACGCAGGAACATTAGAATATGCCTGGCTTGTCGAAATTTGTATTGAAAAACTGTTGGGTAGACTCTTTCCTTCACAGGTTTTTCTTCAAATAGATAAAATATTTTTTATAATGGAGTGTTTATTTGTCGTACCTTTTTTTTTTAAGTTTTTGACGCTGTTTTTCAGATTGAAAAAAATTGTTTCTAGTCAGTTAGATATTATGTTTATTATTCCCAACGTCAAGTGACATTCATTTTCTTTTTTTATCAGATAAGCTTAGTCTGTTTAGTGATTTTATGAAAATATGCATATGACTCTAAAGTGCTGAAAATTTTCATCAAATTATTTATGGGATGTGAAAGATACTGACCACTTTCGTGAAGAAAGTGTTGAAAAAGTTAAAGTTTTTCCAGTTACAATATAAATTGTTTCACTCCTGCCATGAGTAAAACTGTTGCTTGATTTTTTTTTGTTAGATTTTTCAGATTATTAAAAGGTATTGCTCAATATAATTTATTTTAGTCGTTTTTTCACTGCAGATTGTCATACTTCTTCAATGCATTGAAGCATTGGCACTGTTAGCAGCTTGCTCTGATGATGAATTGCTATTACCGGAAAAGTTTGTTCTTTGCATATCTCTCTTAAGTTGGAACTCTAGGTTTTAGTTTCCAAGTTCACTCGATTCTAGTTTTGCATTTTGGCTCTTCTTAAAAAGTGTAGACCACATTACGGCTGAAAAGATTCAGTAAACAAAATTAATATCAAATAAAGTAGAATAATAAAGTTCTGACTGCTCATAGCAAATTTAAGTTTTGTTCTAGCCAATTTTAATATTCATTTTTTGAAAACTAGTTGTATTTATCTTTTACTCACGTAATATTTAGATATAATTTCTGCATCCACATGAATGATCTTCATACGTGTTCTCGAGGTGCGTTAAATTTAGTTGACCGAAAAGGGCAAGTGCAAAACTGTGAGTGTGAAGAAAAAGTTAGTTTCTGGTTTCCTTCGGTATAATGACTGGTATCGTTGTAAAAAACCGTATTTAAATCTTTGTGGTATAGGTGCTTCAGTTATTTTGATTTAAGGAAATAAGTTTATTTTTGGTAGTGGATTGCTTGTGTTTAACGAGTGAAATAATGTGAATTATATGTAAGATTCAGAATTTTCTTTTATTTACGGTCATTCTTGATCCAGCCCACTGTTTCTTCCAGTTAAAATATAAGTCGTTGCTAGTAAGTATTGAACAGTTGGATGTGGCTATCATGGAACAACACAGTGCGTGTGAATTGCAGTTGTCTTCATTCCGTATGGCCTATTGTAATTTCCACAGTTTATCGCTATGCCCAAATTTATTGTTAAAACTACCTTCGGCTAGTTATTAATGTTTTTTACACGGACGTAAATTTTTTTGTTTTCTGTACTAGATTTATCGAATAGTTTATCTTGTAAAATTGCATGTCGGAAAAGGTCTTTTTTTTTTGAAACTTCGCGGTTTAAATTGGATAAACATTAAAAAACTGTAAAAAAATTTTTAAGTGCGAGATGCAATATGAAAAAAAAATTTGTAGATTTCAAATTTTTAAATATTTCAGGTTCAGTATGATTTATTTGTTTTCGTGGATGATTTTAAAAGTTGGGTCAAATGTGGATCCATCTCATTTAATGAAATTGACATGGATTTACGTTTACCATATAAATTGTCAGAAGCACATTTGTTTGTAGAAAGGAAAAATTTTCTCAAGAAACATGATGTTTATAGTAAAAGGTGATGCATTCGTTCAGTTAAAATGTGCCTGCAAATATTAAAAATTATTTTTTGCAGTTACTAGAATTTGTATAAACTTGCATAGATAATCCATATATTAAAATTACCGGATATAGCAATACTAAGACTTTATTGTAAGTTCCAAGTCTATTCACTATTTTGGTTTCTGAATGTGCGTGTCCATTTTTGAGCTAGCAATTTATGAAACAATCCAGACTAAAGACGAAGTCACTGGTATCAATGCACCTAATATGTGGTTTTTTTTATTGATTCAACGTGCTTATGTTTTACAGACTCTTTTTCCTATGGCATAGTGGAAATAGCTGTGCATGTTTTGGTGATACTTGGTTTTTCGGCTCTGTGAACAGAATGTAAGAAATTTCGGTTGCTTCCCTTTTTTAGATTCTCATTCATTTAAAATTTCACGGTGTCATTTCAGTGAGAAGTCATTCATGTATGAACCAAACAAGTCAGTTTTATCCAATAGCCTTAAAAGTGGTCGTAATGTGCAACCTGCTATTTGCCAGAGCATTATTTACGATAACAAATGGTAAAATTCTATCTAGGAAAGAAGCATGATATTATTTTAGTAGAGCTCTTGTATTTTTTCAGGATGATTACAATGAAAAAGTCGAAAACAAATAATAGCTTCGCAATACAAAAAGAATATCAGTATGAGGTAGTAATATTAGAATATCTTATTTCGTGTTTTTCGCATTATTTGCAGTCAAAGTGTTTTCCCGATATTTGTTCTGTTATTACTTTTATCATTGGCTTTTAGGAAATATTAAGTGAAAAGAAAACATATTCTGATGACTCTTTTCACTCTACATTTTCATCAATTGATATCAATGTATGCCAACATATGGTCTGTCCAATACTCGCATCGCCAATTCTACATGAAAGCTATGTATCATTTTTAAGCACATATGAAACTAATGATGATTATTGTTTACCATCAGAACATAATGTTACAGAAGGAGTGAAGTCTAATTTTTTTAGAAAGGTTAATTTTTTCTGTTTTTCATTAGTTTGTGTTTTAAACTATTTCTATTAGTAACTGGGTAGTTTTTTGATGAATTTTTTTGTAAAAATTATTTTCGCTTCACATTTTTATTAGCATATGTTAATTATTAATCCCTTCTCATATTATGTAACGGAATATTAAAAATAAATAATTCAAATATGTAAAGGTGACTTCTGGTATCGATGAGCTTAACTTAGCTGAGCAAGATATCAAAAAAAAGTCAGTTTTCCAAAGAAGTGAAAATATCAAAGTGCCGTTTGATGAGGATTCTCCAGATGAATTCACTATGGTCATCAAGGGTAATTTGGGCAATGAATTGCGTGTAAGTGATCATCTATATACATACAAAAAATAAAAAATAAAAAGGTCAGTCTTCTTTTTCGCTTCATTGATTCTGGCGCTGGATACGACATTCTCACTGCACTCGCCCTACGCTCAGTTCTGCTTAGTTTTTAGCATATATGCTTCAGCTACTTCGTTGTCGGCAAAACTACGACGCTGATGAAATGCTTTCGAGCTTTGTTTTTAGCATATATGCTTCAGCGTCATTAGACGCTGATGTTTTTCGCGCAGCATTTGTGGAAGTTCGTACCATCCCAAGTCATCATATATGGAATTATATTGGTACTGCAGACCCCCTTTGGCAACCTTATATTGAGCCGACGGTTCAACGCATTCTGATGTTTTTCTGCGTCCACTTTGTCTGGTTTATCTCACATCTTTGTGCTTCTTGCATCAGCTCTAAATATTTCTTCTGTTCACCTAATAAACCTTAGACTCGTGTAGCGTGTTTTCGTCGAAGTGCGTATCTTGTGCTTTGACACATTTTGTGATTCGTCTAATAACCGTTTCTGTAAGCACGGACGACCTGCAATGCTGGTGATCACAGAATTCGTTTGATTCCTCAGTTCTTCGAGGGTAATAAATAGCACTCGAAAGCATCTGTTTTTGCATTGCTTTTCATTTATGTCTTAGATGCGGACTTTTTCCTTCTGGCCTCCATTTTATGTTCGCTGAACACAACCGCTCAGAATCAACTACTGAACGCCTCGGCAGATCTGGGAATCAAGGATTATGTATACATATATAATAGAAGCAGAACTAACAGGCAAACTGCCATATAGATCTAACGCCAGAATCAATACACCGGAAAAGAAGACCAGCTTTCATATTTTCTTTTCTTTCCTTATTTATAGTATCACATAAGGATTTATTTTTTTATATGATTCGATGAATTATTTAATTTCTGATCCATATAGTTTTTTTCAGATCTTTGTTACTCCGTTGTTCTTGGAAGCAGTACAACGAATTGCAGAGCAGGTATCTTTTACTTTTATGTTCATACATCCTGCATTTATTGTTCAACATCTTTACACGCTGTGCACTTTTCGACATCATTCGCAGCCGTTAGTGGAAGATGGGCTAAGCAGTTAATCTTTTTTTAATTATATTATTTTGTTGTCATTTTTGCATTTGTTTAAAATTTTTACTGCTGCGGAACAGTATTATCATCATTCCTCAAATGTGGTGCCTTAAATTTTTTTAAATAGATATCTCTACACACAGTAGTAGCCCTTTCAGTGCCTTTACCGTTTTTCTGAGGTTCATTTCAGAATAGCAAATGCATGCATTGCTGTTATAATAGTTGAAAAAAAAACCGCTGATCGATGTTATCTCACATATCTTACATCCTGCAACTGGCATATTGAAAATATTGAACTTGTTGAAAAGAGTTATCATGTCATAAATATCTTTCGCAGATAAAATATTTAGCTTACGAGAAAGGACAGGTTCGTTTGCATTCGAAAGTGACCCTGCCTGATATAAACATTACTTTCTTTCAATGTGGAATGATTGAAAAAACCATTCGATCATCATCTCTAGAAGATTCTGCATCTCATCTCGCTCGAAGCAGTGTTGTCGTGCTAAATTTTCAGAAGAATGATTTGCTCATTTCAAGTACTGACTTTGATAAGGTGGGGAAATTTTCCGAGTTCTACGAAACTTTTTTGACGTTTTCGATAACCTCTCAGTTAAATTTTATTTTTTGATACTTTCGTCTACATTATTTTTTCATCTATAGTTTTACTATTTTTAGAAAAAGAATTTGCCAGAAATAGGTTTGACTCTTAAAGGCCACGCCCAATTCCTTCAGTTGGTAGAATCTTGGAAATTGGATTTTGCGTATAATAAATCTCTTTCTCCAAAATATCGAACGAACTGGAATGAACTATGTAGTCGCTTTATGGGATATGATCTCCGAGTTGTAGTAGGTCCGTTGGATGAAATTTGAAGTTTTGTTTCATTCTGAAGCTCATTTTTAATTTCCAAAATAATTATTGTGTTATGAGAAGAAATCAACTAGCATATCATATTGGCTAGAAAATTGTTTTCTTTATTCTCAGATGCAGACTTTCCTGGTCTAGTATTTAAAATAAACAGCGATGAAGACCAAAGTGAGGTGAAATCAGTTTCTTTGGGTGCTCTGAATCAGTTAGCTATATCAGTTGAACCTATTGATGTTGCAGTTGGTCTTTGTAAACCAATTGAGCAGACAACAAGGTTGGGATTTAGTTTCGTAATTGCTTGTCCTGTAGTCCATCAGACCACAAATTAATTAAAATAAGTAGAAAAATTTTCTCAATCGTAGTGCGTTTCAGTAAAGAGTGGCCTTTGTTTGATGTTTTTGCACCTTGCTTTACCTCCTGGATTTACGCTGTCGATAGATTGAGTAAAAGTTTGGCAAAAAATGTGGCTGCTGTCAATGAAAGGATCGATCTTATACTTATTAAATTGCTATCGGAGGTCTTGGATCATAGCAATGGTCAGGTCTGTAGTTTCATGCAAAATATTGTTAAGGATGTTTTTAAAAAATGGAGGAAAGATGTATTGTTCACTTTATGGTATTTTTTTCACCTTAATAGTCTTCCTATTCTTTTTGTTTTGAAATGAATTTGACAGAAGCGAAAAATTCGGTCATCATACCTCTTTGTTTGCATCACTGCTTTTCAGCTTTTTACATTTGACAAAAGTTGCTTTGCTGATGTTCAAGTATATAACAAGGCATTAGGATCCTGTCCAAGTTGTTTGTTAACTATAATTCTTTTACGCTATGCTGTCCAAGAAGATCTCAATAATTATTGGCAGCAAGCTGATCATGTGGAATCAAGGCGATATTTGGATGGAAAACGCCGAAAACAAGCATTGATAGCTTTGCTTAGTCATTGGCAAACAATTATCTGTTCTGAAGTTAAGGTAAGTTTCAAATACTTCTATGTACTTAAAAGCTGATGTGGTTGTTAGTGATTTGCAATTTTTTCATTGTGCTATATTTCGACAACATTCAAAAAAGACAGCGCTCTAAACTGAAAATTCTACATTATTGTAAGGAAAATTCCTAAAATTTGAAACAAAATTATCTGAAACAGCGTAGTTTTCAAAGTTAGGGTACTAAAATAAGTGCACTTTATATGTGCACATTTTTGAGCCATACAAATCTTTAAGAAAGTACAGTTATAGATTTCTAACGTTGAAATGGCTCACAGATTTGTTGAACATACGTTAAAGAGTACCGGTAGTTCTCACGAAGTTCGTATAACTGTCGATTCTAATCAGTTGAACAGTGCTGTTGATAACAGTACTCGCCCAACTGCAGGATCTCATCAAAGTATACTTTCATTTGTGATTCCTTCTTTCAGTTTCAAGTCATTTACATCTTTTGTCATGCATGTTCACGGAAAGCAATGCTACACTGAATCAAAAGTGTTGAGCTTTCCAGCTGTTTAAGCTTGATGTTATTTCTTTTTTATTTCTTTTTTTGAAGGTAGATTTTTTATTTATTCATATATTCCTAAAAATTTCAAAACACCTGCATTTTAATCAATATTGGTGTAAAATATTTAATTTATTAGATCTAAGAATAAGTTTCAGTGGATCTATATCATTGGATATTAGCTAAACATCGAGAACACAAAGAAGCATCAACACGAAGTAAAGTCGCTAAGAAATTACTAGATGATGCACCGGTGAATGCAATGGAGATTGATTTATCCGCTTTTTTCTGGAGCTTTTATGAGGTGTTTTACAAATGTCCAAAGCAAGATGGCTCCAAGATAGCTTTATTGATGGCAAAATTATATTCCGGAAATTTCGGAATATATTTTTATGAGTAACATAAAAAATGCGTTCAATTAGTCAAATAGTCATTTTAAGAAGTGCGCTAAAATAAGTAATTTTGCATCTGATGACTCAATGTTGCATTTACAAGATGTTCCCCCATTATTGGTGTACTTAAAGTTTTTTACTGGTATATTAAACCAGTACTGTTCTACAATGGTGATAAGGGTGCAGTGCTCCATTTATCTCAATGGTTGAGGCTCTTGAGTGCAATTTCGCTCAGCTGTAACGAAATCTTATTATATCTGTTCGAAATGTTTATGCGCATTGCAAATTCTTGAACACATTTCAGGCACGTGGGCTTCAATTTTCAAAAGCAAGTATATTATTACCCACAGCTAATATTAATTTCAAATACATTATTAAACTGATTACGATGAAGGTAAAGTTATCTCCAAAAAATGTGAATAATACATCGAAAATGACTTGTGCATGATATAAATTAATACCTTACGCAAATTAACTAAGCATATAAAATTAATGGATTGCAATTAAATTTTTTCTGTTTATCATTATGCACTTGTTCTTTTCGATACATTTGTGTAGAAATCGTGATAATAAAAATAGAATATTCATTTTGCTCTTAATTGTCTTTAAAATTATGAAAAGCAGAAATTATCATTAAATATGTTTCAGTAGCTATATTTTTGTGACCTGATTATATTGCGCTTCCTATATTAAAACAGATAATCCGAGATATCTGGGCGTTTTTGAATATGTATCTAGAGAGATTGTTCTAGATGGAATACAAGAAATTTAGTTGAACATTTTATTTTTAGGCCGAATTTTTTTCCAAAAATGTTTCTTTTCCAAACTTCGATTGCTCTGTAGTAATAAAGAATGATTGAGGTTGATCTACTCGAACCAAAGATGATTTCTGCCTCAAATATCAACTACTTGTCTACTACGAAACATCACTTATTGCATCTAGAATCTGTTAGGATAATTGGACAAGTTCATACTGAACCGCATTTCGATGACTTGAATCTCCGACTTGTGAGGTCAAATTTCTTCTATAAAAAAATTGAACAGTTGCATCTATCAAGAATCGTTTCATTCACATAAAAATAAATTCTGTAATTTAAATTGGAATGGATTATTGCTTGAAATGGCATTTTTAGAATTACTGTGTGCTTGTCTTACAATTCTTATGTACAAAATATTCATGCTGTATTTCCTTTCGCGGCAGTATGTTTGTTCAACGACTTTTCACGTGTATATCGTTCTTGCACGTCAACTCTTACCCATTTGAAAATGGCACGACCAGGTACTACCAAGAAGGAAATGATATCTGTCTCAAAATCCCTATCACAATTTACGAATTCAGATTCCATTGCTGGCTCAACATGTTGGTTACATAATGTCCTCGATAAATTCCATGATTACATCAGGTTCAGCAAATTATTTCAGTTTCTTGCATTTTTCGTAGATATTAGTGTATACATCTATGTTGGATTTCAGATTTAAGAACAGCAAGATAAGAATCAATGACGACATTCTGGAATTGAAAGTAGATGGTAAAACTAGTATTAAAGTTGGTGTTTTCGAAATGACTCTCACTCATTTGTACATATCTATGACATTAAAAAAAACACAGGTCATTCTTTTAAGATATTTTTTATGAAATGGTCTCTATATAGCGTTATGTTTTTCACTAATAATGTTTTAGCTTGATCACATCAATCAAAGAAGCAGAACAAAATCTAATACTATAATAGATGAAGTGAATGCATCTGTTCAGCGTGCAAATCTCATTTTATCAGAATTTGTGATAGGTCGTGATGCAAAACATATCGTTAGCTTTCTAGTAAAGTCGAGTTCTCTGAAATTTGAAAGGTTGCACTTAATAACACCTTTTTGAAAGCTATTTTTCAATATATCGGAAAATATTTAAAACATATATTTACTTTCAATATTTATTGCATATAGGAATCGCTGTTCTAACGGATTGCTGAAAAATCGAATCAATATCCTAGTTGGTGATATTGAAGGTGATATGCCTATTCACGCTCAGAATCTTCATGAAGTTGTACTCAGAAATGTTTCGCAGTTAAATGAACAAATAACTCGATTAGAATACAGTACTCCCACGGTAGTGCGGTATTTCATCATCATTTATGTCGATATTTATTTAACCCTGTTCTGCTGTTTTTTGATTTGCTTAGTTCATTATCTGGTCAGTAGTTTTAAAAAAGATTTTTCATTTTCCTTCGTCTTTAAAATGGTAATTCGACTCATTTCAGCCTGTGGGAGAATACTCAGCTCATTTACAACGGCGGCAGACTGTAGCTGTTGTGAATTTTGAGCTTGTCGTAAGCAGCATTGAATTGTCTGCACAGCTGCTGCCGTCGCTGAAAGTGAAGTATCGACTTGACCAAGCGGAAAGTAATGGAAATACGTATGTCTTGATGTGATACACAGTTTCATATTAAATTATTGTCAAACTTCATAACATGGGTTCTTTTCACTTTTAACTTTAGTGGGTCAGCGTCAAGATTTACGGGACGGATCAGAAGCCATGTTGTTCATTTCATTGTCATTACACCTATCAATGAAAAGCGTAATTCCTTGGATTCGGATACTTTTACGCTAGCACTTCCTCACATCTCTGCTGATGGTGCTTATCGCATGGTGGGAAAAAGTGAGAGCTTTGACAGAATGGCTACAGAAGATTTGCAGTTCCGAGAAGGAGGATACATTGATTTGGTATTGAACATCGGTATAATTTCTATAATTTATTTGGCGGAACTTTCAGTTAGTGTCAGGTGCATAATACAGATTGTTAATGATTATAGCGCAGATTATTACTCAAAAGCAGTTTATTCATCTTAAGTCATTGTATTAGAAATACAGATTTAAAATACAGCTATCAATTTATCATTGTGAATGGAAGAGAATGGTTCAATTATTTTCTCGATTGAACAATTTGTTTTAATGTTTTGTTTTGTTATTAATTAAGTTTCAGGCAAGCTAGAGCATGTATTTACAACGGATTTACTTAATCAGATTTTATTCGCCGAACAGTGCTTTCGAGCTGAGCTAACCTCATTGATCGATAGAATAATTGGAGATCGTACTGTACGCCCACCGGTCTCTTCCGATCAGCAACTGCTACTCCAGGATCCATTCTTATTTACCATCACAGCATGTGTTTTCATTTACATTCAAAAATAAAATTTTTCTTTTTTCATCAAAACAGCATGCTCAGGATTATTATTGTTAATCATGCTTTGATTGGTTTATTCTTATTTTAGTGTACATCATTTGTAAATTGTTTTAGTTGCGTGCAGAAACAGCTCCCTGGCTTCAGCTTACTGCTACCACACCAACCTCAATTGCTGTTCGATTAACTTTCGACAATATCACAGCTACTATAACCAATCGTTGGACTAAAAAAGGATCGGAATCGAAAATAGTATTAATTTCTAGTCTTTTTGATTTAATGTTTGTAATGCAGATGTTAAATTAATAAAAGTATTAGTACACCTATCATAGTTCTTAATGCATATTTTTCTGCGAACTTTCATCTCTTTTTTTAATAAAAAATATTCAGAAAAAACTCTATGGTAAAGCAGTTATTGGCGTAAGTGCAAAACTTGGTCTTTTGGTTAAAACTGCCATGTTCGAAGAGATCGAAACTGAACTGCAAGAATTTGCTACATTTATGACGCAAGTAAGATAATTATGATTCATTTTTACTACCTTGTATAATTGTCTCTTTTTTGAAAAATGAGATCAAATTGATCTCATTTTTCGAACATTAATGATCGCATCTGTAGACATTGTTTAAGAAACAAAATCATAGACAAACTTGTAACTGAATTTAATTCAGATAACTGTGCAAAATAAAAATAGCAGCGTATCTTCTGCATATAGCTATGTTGTTACTGTGAATCGTCCTATTCTTCTAATTAAATCGTCAGCGATTGATAAAGTAAGTTCTTACAATATTGCATTTCATGTATCTTTGATGTTGAGAAAATATCTTGAAAACTCAAATACTTTTTTTACACATCACTGAAAAGAATTTCATGTATTTTTAGTTTATTGCAACAATTTATTTGCTTTCTTCGGTTTAGGCTATTTTATTGTGGCTTAATTATAAGAATACTTACGATTTTTGGCATGAAGAACGAAAAAAAATGCTGACATCTGAACGATTGTTATCACTTGCTTCTTCACATGTTTCATCACCTTTGGTGACATTTATACTTCAGAAACAGAATTCCATTTGGTTGATTTCTATTCAAAAAATAAAAGTTGAATAATTGTTATTATTCATTGGATTTGCTGTCTAAAGAGGTTCTAATTATTTTTATAGAGTGTGGAAACAGAGATGAATGTAAATTTATCATTAAAAGTTACCAACGGTATATACGTGTGTATGCCGTTATATAGTGCAGATTTGAGCGAAAATCTTTCTGCCTTGCTCATTTCGTTACAAAGTACGGACATTACTGTTTGTGTGAAAAAAGAGTTGGCATGCCAAGCAACATTTCACAAATTCAAAGTTAAATTTATCGACAATTTCGATGATCAGGTGGTTTATTGGTTATAAATTAAAACAATTATTATAACTTGATGAATAAATATCAGCAGATCAAAAAAATTGTTCAATAAATTATTAGTCCTTAATATATTTCATAGTACTTTTTTCATCAAACATACAAAAATCTGGTTGTCTAGTTGAATAGTATGCCGACGTAACTACAGTTTTTAGGCTTTAAATGATAATTGGATAGAAGATGAGGCTGTAGATCCATCACTTTCAAATTATTTCTATTTTCCGCAAGGCAATTACCAACTTGTTTCTCGTGCAACAACTACTTCTGACTCAACTGAAAAAGCAAATTGGACATTATCAGTGAAGTGGCAAATGTGTGGAATGGTCATCGACTTTGACCATGTTAGTCATCTTGTTATCACTTTTCACTCCTCAATATATTTTCTCTTTTTTTAATAAGTATGTATGATGAATATTTATTAATGAGTTACTTTCACTCTGATATGATAAAAGTTGTTTTGTAAATTGTAGCCATAATTTAATGAAATAATACTGATTTCTAATTCTTTTTTCTTCAGCGTATTGGCAAGCTCGTTTGTCTGTTAATTAGTACTTTTTCGTCTTTCACATCTGATATCAATGAAGAAGATTGGGAAGAATCTGTAAATGAATCTTCAATTGTATGTGAAGATAGAGATGAACAAGATGCGGATATTGATGCTACTGGTGAATTAAGAAGTCTTTCACAGTCAGAAGAACGAATCCAATGGTTAGAGCGAAAGGTAAGATGCCGATTTCTTGATTTTTAAAGTCTTAAATTTTTCCTTGAACAAAATCAGCATATTTTTGTCAGTTGATTCTAAAAATTTCTTGGTTTTGAATTTTAGATGCATGAGCAGTCAGTCTTGGTAAATGATCTAGTGCAGTGTGGGGCTTCAGAACCAGCCATTGAGAAAGAAAGACGAACTCTCCGCAAACTAGAATCAGCTAGATTTAAACAGTTTCGAAAGTCTATGCTTGAAAAACTAAAACGAAATGCTATTCGTCAGCGGAAAAAGCTGATGGAACCGAGGAAGGTTATTTCAATCTTTCTCTTTAAAAGTTTCTCAAATTCCATGGTCAAATGGAAGGGCTGAAAAATTTCATGAATCTTGATTATATGCGAATTTAAAGTGAATTACTTCAAAAAAAGACATCATTTGGCATCCTAAGACGTTTTTATTATAGTCTGATGAGCTTCATGAGACGAAATTAGAAACCCAGCTAGACGCTCCATCAAAAATTTCTTGCGTTACCTCGCGAAAGAATTTATCATTCGGTTTACAATTCAGTGGGTTTAGATGCATGAGTAGTCAGTCTGGGTTATCTCAAATCCCAGATAAGGGGCAGTCGAATAAACTTACAGCGGAAGGTAATTTAATGACGGATACAGTCAATATGAACATCGATGTACAGGTATATCATATTGTTTTAAGAATATCAGAATTTTGAAATCAGAGTTTCAGAAATATAGAAAAATGTGAGAGATCTCTATAGACTTATCTATATACAGATAAGTCTTTCAGTTCTAGCAATGAATTTAGGTGAGCATTGAATCAGGTTTATGTACTTTACGAGCTTTGAGTAAGCAAGAAGAAACAGATTTGATAGCTAAACGACCATCTGCAAGAGACTTAAAGTTAAAAATGGCGCAAACAAATGAAACTTTTGTTGTTTCAAAACTTGCTATTCCGAGGTTTGTTAGTTTGTTCTTTAATCAATCCTCTAATTTAAAGAATGAATGGCCAGTTTAGTATAAGCTTATTAGATGACATTAACTAACTTGTACAATATATTGACTATAGCTAATCTTTAATAGGAGATTTTATTTTCTTTCGGTGTTCAGATTTTGTAACTTAATTAACATAAAAGTTGATACCATATAAATAACACTGTGTAAAATATAAAGGTCTATAATTTTGTCTAATCTATTTAAATCAAGTGGACATATAATTATTTCATTTCCAGTGTGGATGTGAGAGCATATTACACGTCCGTTGATATAACTCAAATTCCTAAACAGCTCCCTCGTCATGTTCAAGCGATGTTCTCACATAAGTGTGGGCGACCCAAGTGAGTCATTGTATGATTTGATTGTAAACTTCTGATTTAAATTTTTAGATTAGTAGTTAGAAAATGGTTCTATGTTCATAAATATTTACTTCTAGCTTATGGCGTCGACCAGCTTTTTATCTTACAGCAGAATTAGCAAGCATGCCACAGGAATCATTAATCACTCCTCACCTTGCTGATTTTTTAGAGCAGATGCTTGAAACTGTTCCTGAAAATAATGTCAGCTCATCAATAAATGTTGGTTTTTCTGTAAATTAAGCACAGTTTTTTTGACTTTTTTCTGTTTCTGATTAATGTTGTGCCATTTTTCGTGAAGAACCTTTGATCAGTATTTCTAAATCAAACATCTTTTTGAGACTTAAATTACAGATTTCGAAGATGAACATGGATGAAAGGTATGATTCTGATGTGCCCATTGTAGAAATAGATACTTCTGCAATTCCTTTGGATGTTTTAGTTCATTTGACTGTACAGTCTTCTACAATTAGATTTGAAGGTCAACAACAGGTAATAATTCTTTAAAGTATTTTGACCTTAATGTTTCCTTTAACGTATATCTTAATGTCATGTAAAGTATTGTTTTGCAAACTTCGTTTTATTTTGATATTGTTCTTGAGAGTCAGGATCATCTAAAAATTCTAATAACATCATTTTATATCATAATTTTTTATTTCATTTTAATTTGTAACCTTATAATTTTATTGACGTTGTTATTATATAGGTTACTTGGTGCTACATAAATAACACTGAGATTCAAAAGTATAAAATTTCCTGTGATCAATTTGAGTTATTTGAGCGTGTAATTCTGTATTCCCACTGTGCATACGAGGCCATATTATACGTTTGTTGATACTATTAAAATGCGTCAATCATGATCAGATTGAGATATAAGATTATTATTAACATTGAATTTGGGTCTGGAAGCGGGGAAAACAAGTATTTTAAAGCAGTGTACTAACAAGCATGCAGTGTTTCAAGAAATGTAAATTGATGATATCTCAATGAACATTTTTTCAGCGTACTGCGGCAGCAGATTGTTTGCTGAAACTTCCGTCACTTACACTGATGGCTTCGACTCGACCTGTATGTGAAAATGCTGAAAACGGTAATGAGGATATTACTGGAGGTGGAATACATGTTGCTGCAACGTTAAGTGCTTTTTCGCTGAATGTTTATAGTCCCCATCAGGTGAATAAATGTCGAAAGAATTATATCAGTTTTATTTATTTTATTACATGTGGGTTTATCACACGAAATGTTTTAATTTTATGCCACTGTTCATCTCAGTTTTTACTTATATTTCTATTTTCTTATTAAAGTTGATTTCGATTAAGGAAAAGTCACCACAGTCGCTCAGATGAATTTAAGATTTCACATTTCTTAATTTGCGGGTCTTTCAGACATTTTTTCCGTTAATAAATAATTATTGATCTTAACTGTTTTTATCAGCTAAAGCTAACACGAAGTTGCAGCGTTCCACAGCTCAGGATGCTCTTTTGTTGACACTAGATCATTTGTCAGTATTAGTTTCACGAAGTAAAAACAATCGTTTTGAATCAGATAATAAAGTTCAGGTCTATTGTTTTTGAGAAATTTTTAGTTTTTAATTCAAATAATTACTAGCGATTGAAATAAATTATTTTTATTCGGCTTACGCATTTTCTGTGACTGAAGAGAGGAATAACTTATTTTTGATCATTGTAAATGTATTTCTTTAGTTCGTATTGACTGCAAACGTTGGTTCGGCTAATTTTATTTACGATATGCGTCGACTTGCTGAGCTGATTTCATTTCCAAAACCTTGGTACAGGCGCACTATTGTGCATAGATTGTTTTTTGGTGGTCATTCTGTTAAAACTCCTACACCCAATGCTAATTCCTTGATCGTAATGAATCAAGCATCATCTAAATCAGTTTCTCACCAGTCAGTTTTTCTTTATTTAAAAATTTTTTTGTTTCTATTTTTAATGCTCATATACTATTTTGGAGTATATTATGTATCGCAATTATAAGAAAGTGATGATAAATGAGGGTTTAGCTTTGATGTATTAATCATTTTGTGGTTTTTAAGACTTACTTTTAAAAACTGTGTATTTATAGAATTCCATCTTCACAAGGGAATTTGAAAAAAAAAGAATGGAGTGCAGCTGTAATATGTGGTGTCGAATGGAAAGAGCTGAACATTAGTGCACAAATGGCTAATACAATGGGAAATACTAAACTAATCGTACAGCAAGGAGATTTGCGAGGTTATTGTCAGGTATTAATTTTTTATAAAAGTATTAACTGAAAAAGTTACACGTTAAAAAAGGTTGACAGAATTGTTGCTTTTGATATCAACTTTTGTCGAATTTTAAACATGCGTTTGCAATTTTGATTTTTTGGTATCAGCTTCAAGAATTTCCTAATGTTTTCTAACAAATTCTACTGTTTTTAAAAGCAAATTTTTAAACTTTTTAGACAAAAAGTAAATAAATTTTCCATCCAAAAATTTTAATGATAAAGTTTCGAGCATTATAAAAGAAATAATTTTGTGCTATTTTGAAGGGTTATTCTAAATCGCATCACTTTCAGCTCAATTCTAAACATGACCGGGCAGTTTCCATTAATTTTGGTTTAAAATCAGCTGCTCTATCAGCTAATGGAGGTGCCATATCAGGGGAAATCGTTATCACCATTCTGCAAATTTCATGTACGAATCAGAGTGCCGCTCTGGTAGGTTTTATTGATCAAAAAATTTTTTATTTACTCTTAGATTTACTTGTTGCTAGTTGTTCTCTCTTAGTTCTATTTATTTGCTCATTAAAGTAAATTTAGAGATATCTTCAAAATTTATGACAAAAACATAATCTATTGCTAGCACCTCCATTAGCTTATAGTGCAGCTGATTTTTTTAAAGTGAAATCGGATTTTAAGTTTTTGTATTACATAGAAGCCTCCTCGAAACTTTGCAAAACTTAATCTGGAGGAAATACAAAGTCGAATCGAATGGATGAGCCGACCGATATTTATTGCTAAATGTGACAAGCCATCTGTGACATTTCTAGATGAATGGTTATCTGTGTTTGATGATGTAGGCGAGGTTTGTTCTTCTTTCCATGTAATTCTCTAAGCTGTACTATGATCATCAAAGGGAATGAAAATTTCAATTCAGATGAGGGCAAGACTGAATATTGATAAAGTCTAATTCTCCATCTTTTAAATATTTAAGGTTTTAAAGGCATCAGTAGCTGTCAATATAACCTGTTCTTGGTCCGATTTACAGTTGATAATAACAAAAGTAACTGTTGATGATCTGATGAAAATTGCTCAGAAATTGAAGTCGTTTTTTCAGGTCTGATTTTTGATTTTGAAGAGAAGAGTAGAGTCGTTATTCTTTCTTTTTACTTATTTTAAATGCACTAAAACAAATTGCATGATTTATTTTTTGTAACAAATCTGGCTTTTTTTTATACAGTCGTACTTCAATATAGGAGCAGTTGATAAACAGTAGAATGGTGTGGGGTATCAGAAGCTCTGTGACTGAAGACCAGTCTTTGAATAATGGTGACAGATGTATAAATTTCACAAAATATCATCACTGGCAGTCGGTGCTTGACATGCTGACTGATATCCAAGCTCGCCAGAAACTTTTACCGATGCCAAAAGGCAGTGATGGAGTAACCGTTGTAGGAGGTGTATTAGAACTGTCTGGACAAAGTTTGTCCTTAGCTTGTATGCATGGTGAAATGAATGCTTCAAGGTAAGTCGTAGGCATTTGACGACATTTGTTGTAAATAGTTTTTTGGCACTGCATTCATAAATCTGTGCTCTTGTTTTTTTCAATTATTTATCTGTTAATAAAACCTTAGCTGGGCATTATTCCACATGCGTCAGCCAACAATTATATTTGAACCGGAAGCTCGATATATTTTTATCAGTGATGATCGAGAAGTGGGTGTGTTGATTGCTCAACGACTGAATATTAGGCTCGGTGATATGGCTTATCAACGTGGTGATACAGAATGTATGGCTGTTGTATGTCGAGTTCAGGTTATCCACTTCTCTGCCAGATTAAGCTTAAATTCAGAAATATTGTTACATATATTCTGTTATTTAGGATTATTACTTCGGCTTGTTTTATTTATAAAAAGAAAACAAATTGTTTTACATCAAGCTCAGATTTTATTGTTTTACATCAAGCTCAGATTTTATAAGCGAACTTTGTAATTAGTGTGTTCTATCTTTCTTATGTAATATTTCGGTTTATTATTTTTTTGAAATTTAAACACAGCACTAGTCTTGCTTTTTTGCTGCTTTACACCACGTGATGCTAAAACAAATATTGATGATTCTTGACATCATTTCTTTATTATCAGTGAAAATATTTAATTCTTGTTCAAATGATCCAAGTTTTCTTGCTTTTACTTTCTGTCAAGTTCACAACTTCAACGTTTTGTTATGATTTCATCTGTTGGACTTCGGAATTGATAAATGTAATGAATTTTGCAGCAAAGCAGAGGAAGCATGGTGCGACAGATGAGTTCAATACTTGCATGTCTTCACCACTTCATTGGAGATGTTCTTGTTCGTTTGAAATATGTCTCCCCAAATTCGGATTATCCAGTGGCACATCATTCAGTGCTGCAATTATTTCAGTAAATATTTCAGTTTGATACCGTTTACAGTTATTTTCCTGTACAAAAGTGCCTTTTTTTAAATCATCAAAACATGTCAAGTTTTTTACTTAATTCAGGTTTCCTGCTCTAGACGCCGTTCTATCAACATTACAAAAACAAGCGGTCGAAGTGCACGAAGAGCTTAAATCACCTGAAGTTTCTTTTTTTTAGTTTCAGATGCTAAAATATAAGGCAGCTCTGACTAATACTAGTCTGTTTTGTTTTTTGATTGCATAGAAGCAAATTTGCATGCGTAAACGTACAAGAATAGCTCATACAATTTTTTTAGGTTCGCAGTTCTTTTATTTGTGAGTTCCATGATTCAGTAAATGTGCAGACTGACTTTAGCGCACAAGTCAGTTTTTTACCTGAACTGATTAACACTTACATGAAAATAAAGGTACTTACTCTTTCTTAGTTTTCAACTGTTTCTTTTGATTAAGATGCCATTTTGATTATATTTTTCTTATAAGTGAATTTGTGGTATGAAATTGTGATTGGAACTAATTTTAGACGGAAGAAGAAAAAGCCGTTGACGTAAATCGTGATTTCCGTCATTTTGTTTGTGAACGATGGATGGTCGACCCAAAAATTTGTTTTATTGATCGTTTCAAATGGAATCCTCCTGTAATTGATGAAATCTTAAGGAAGCTTCAGGTAATTTTCTTTTGAATATCGAATTTATCTCAAGTTTTCATTGATTTAATAGTGTGGAAAGATGAGTCCTATAAAAAATTTTTTGAAATTATTTCGACTGAGAGCAAATCTGTGCTGAATAATTAGCTACCTTTCAACTATTGATAATTTATTTTGATCGTTTCTTGATCTTTTTTTGAATCAAATGCCGATGAACAACAGCATTTGATTCAAAAAAAACGTTTTCAAACGAGATGTGTTATTTTCAGACATTCAGATTTTTCAATTTTAGATATTTGATCACCGGACAACTATACCAAAAGCGTTACAACGTGGGCTTCTTGACCCATGCGATGCTTTTTTATCCCATATTGAGTTTCTTATTCTGTTAATAGCTAGCAAGTCTTCCAAGAATAAGCCTCCTTAAGAAAGAATTATGACTGGGGTTAAGTCGATAGCTGTAGAGTGTAAGGAAATCAAAGCTTCAGTCGCTGCATCTTTGGAAGGAATTGCTGTATACTCCTCACACATGTTGTAAAATTGTTTATTATGTACTCATCTCGTGACTCTTGACGAAATTTTTCGTGCATCATTTTGTAGCAGTAATAGTAGATTTTTTCTGCAAACCTATCTTTTCGTATTGTTTGGTGAAATTAGAGATACAGCAGTTATCAGTGATAAACAAATATTTCTACCTTCATTGCCAGATGCAAACATGATGCTTAATATCTGACCATATCAGTGTTGTCGGTAAATAGAAACTACGTCATTAAATACGAAATCGTTCTTTTCATGCTGAGTGTATTATCTCGAAATTATCATTTTTATGTTTCTAGAATTATCTAATCATCAGTGTGAACGACGTCTGCACACTTAAGCAAATCCTATACTCATTAAATAAAATTTTTTTTGCGTAATATTTTGCATTTCAAGATATTTGAGATCATAAGGAAGACGAAACGGAGCTGCTATTGTCGTTATTAGATTGCAAGAAATCCCGAAGAGTGATATCTTCCATCATATCATATCCTCATCTGCAATATAGTAAGTACATTTAGGCACAGCATTCTTCTCTTTCCTAAAAAATGTGGTATGAATGGTGCAGTAAAACAAGGGAATGGAAGATAAATTGAAAAAAGTAATCCAATCAAAAATTTGTCTCGCATTGAAATAAAAGACATACTTATGGAGTGCTTAGTTGATGATGGGGAATCTAGTAATGCATCAAATTGAGAAGATAAGCTTTCTTTCTGCTTTAGCTGGGAGATTTTTAGTGTTGTTCGAGATGGAAGTGCTGTTTCACTGCGTGTGATATCGATGGGCGGAAGTTTTCTGGGGTGAGATGGTAGTGTTGGAGATTTCAGCAGAGGAACTTTTGGTACTGAAGTTTCCTTCTTTTGGCTCGAAATGGACGAAGCAATACTTGTGCTTGAAATGCTACTTTCTTTGTTATATTTTCTTCTCCCACCAGCAGTCATGAGTTTGAATAATGAGAGATTGGTTTCAAATTCATTATCATTATTCTTCTTTTCCATGTTATGCACAATACTAAAAAGAAGAATGCAGTTGCCTCTGCTTGCAAGAGGTCTCTACAATGTTAGGAATCAGATGTTGCAAATATAGTGCTTTTTTAGTAGTTCATGTAGATGTCTGCATCATCACTGATTTAAGTGAATTGCAGCTAAAGATGAAGGGAGTAATTTAGAATTAACACTTCTTATAGAGAATTGAAATTTTTTTGAAGGTTAAACTGCACCAATTATGGATTGTGAAACATCTCTTGTTATACGTTAAGAAATTAATGCAGTGAATCTACATAATAAACTTACTGAAAATAGCTGATGGATTAATACTAAGATTCCAACGAAATAATTTAATTGTATTGTTCGTACTTACATTCCTTAGCATGTAGCTAGAACAAACTTCAAGTGATGACAGACTAACCTGTCAGTCAGCGTTTTTGTTGAAACGTTTGATGCTGCACTCAAATCTGAGTTTTTTAATGTATCATTTGATTCGTTATTAACTGGTGATTTTTGTTTTCCGACAAGACCCGCTCTATTTTCATGCGCCAAGCTATTTGCTCTCACGTCGCTATTAAATTGATCGAAATCAGGCTTTTCTATCTTCCAGTTGTTTCGATTCATACAATCATGCCTTGCATCTTGATAATCTACCACGTTGTTTTTGTTTTGTGTATTTAAGATGCTAAGCGTAATATCATCATCAGAAATTTTGAGGCAGTATGCTGAAGCATCTTTTTCTTCTCTCAGCTTTTCCAAACTAATAATTTCCTAAAATTTCATAGTACTATTTTTGGAACTGTCCGTAAAGTTTTTGTGTGTGATAACAATGAAAAATACGACTTTTTATTACCTGTTGCATCTCTTTTTCAAAAACTGCTGCTGTTGCTAGAAATCGATTCTGCCTCAGAAAATGGTAGATGATAGAATATTCAGGTTTTTGCTCAAGGTTGACATTGCCTTCGGACTTATTTTCTTCAGCATTTTCGATAGCCAGAAATATGGCATATCTTAATTCAGCCTGAATTTGGTATAACAACATTTGCTTTCATCTATAAACTTCCTTGATTTCAAAAAAATTCATTTCGTAACTCTGCTATGACTAATGTAATTTTCGAATCAGAATTTACTTCTAGATACTTGAGAACTCAAACCATCATCTTTTCACACATCTGAGAACTATTATCAAAACTGCTCGTGCATTTCCATAGAAAGAAATTTTTTCAGTTCATCAACACTTTTTGTCATCTTTAATAACGATGCTGGTGTGGCATAATTTTTGGAAACGTAACTGCGTTGAAGAAATCAGAAGCTAAAAAGTAATGTTACCTCAGAGGATTAATTACAATATTCTAAACAAGAATACTTCACCTGTATTCGATCTAGGGTACCGTTACTTCGTAGTTTCTCTAGAATAGCCTGCTTGAGGTTGCTAGTATTCGACATTTATTCGAATGAAATGAATGATATCCATGGTAACAGGTCATGTCTGCTAATATATAACGGCAGAATATTGTGACTGAAATTTGGGAATTGTCTTTAATTATAAATGTAATAAACAATGAACGAAATTGCACAGTATTGACAAAAATTGTTTCAAAAAGTTAAAATTGAGAGGAATTTTGATAAAGAGCAAAAAATTGCTACCAATCTTTGGTAAGATTAATTGTATTGCATTCTTTGGGCCGTTTTTGAAATATTTGATGAGTGAGGATAGCTAGCTATTTTTTGGAATCCGTTCACTGTTTAATTGTGTGACAATCATCTTCATGATTTAGCTTAACTGGCACGGTTTACTTGCAAATATTTTGTACAAAAAGTTACAGAACTTCGCAGCATGTTGACATGGAGATTGTAGATGAGTTGTTAAGCACAGTCGTGCGTTCAGAATTTTTTGCGTCTGTCTGTTGATTACTTGATGTGCAATAATGCTCACTTATTTCTTGATCAATATTGCTTTAAATCTCATCAACATTTTACTTCAAAAAGCATCTAATATTCCTTCCCATCTCTGATTCTGTAATGCTTGCAAGTTCAAAAAACTTTCAACTATTATTAACCTATGTTTTATCTCAAATGTAAAAATAACTGCATATGTATTAAACTAACTAATCACGATTACAAGTACTGTTTTAAGGACAAAGAATGAGCGACCTGGTCATCTTGCTGTTAGCTGAAGGAGTATCTGAGAAAAGCCAATGAAATTATTATAATAAAAAAAGCAGTAAAGAACTTAAGTGTATGCAACTCACACACTACATCAATGCAGGCGTGTGTCTTTGTTAAATCGACACATGTGCTTGTGCTTGTGCTTACAAGTAAATGTACAGTTTTCTATATTAGCGTATGTCTGTCGCAGTACGCTGTCAATATGTACAAACATCTACTTTCATTTTTATCAGCAAACACCATTACTATTTTGACATTTTTATGACATTCTATGCCTGTAGTCTTATTTTGATTTATGTCTCAGAGTACTCATTATATTTCACTATATGAATAATATAATTGATAACCAGAACAGCGAAGTATACTTTGACTTCTACTGTCTCATGAAAATAATGATAGGAAAAATAAGTGCTGTAAAATGTATTACAACAGTAACGCAAAAATTATTTTCTGTGCACGTTAATCTATCCTTCCGAGCACAGATAAAATAGTAATTACTATTATTTTTTATTGCTAGTAATTTATTATATTTGCCATCACTAATACATGGACCTTTCATTTGTACTACAGTTATTTGTTTTTCTTTGCTTTTCGTGACGATAATTAGGTGCACAACGTTCAGTGACTGCAAGAAAGTGACAAACGTAGTTATCATTATTTATTATGAAGCAATAAATAGAGCGATTTTACTGGGTTACTGCTAAAAATTTGAACTGACAACTGTACTTCAATGTTGAATGATTTATCATGATTTTGCTAGGAAGTACGTGTTAATAATATTTCACAGAATGGTACCTTCTGCATATTTCGTTTTTGTTTCTAAAATCAGTGATTTATCTGTTATCAATTTTCTGCCATAATGACTCATTAACAAATAAAATATCAATGAGGCAATGATAAGACTGGATGAAAAAGCGAGCAACTGCAAATCAGGCTGAATAATTAAAAACGCACTGATCTGAAAATTCTAAATAATAATAGCGATATATTCGTATGAATAAATTAACATTACTGCTTGGTTTTGTATTTTTTCATCATAATTTGTTACTGTAATTTAAAATAAAGTTTTCTTATTGATAAAATGTCATTTACGCACCAAAGCTATTGTTTCTAAGACATAAATAAGTGTTGCAAGTGTAAGTCGATGAAGATATGAGGCAATAAAGCTTCCAATTGGGGCAAATATTACAACAACAGGCAAACAGACTGCAAAATACTCCCAAGAATCCTGAAATTAATTGAGTCTAAACTTACCGCCAAAATTGATTTCAAAAAATGAAAATTTTAACTTGTTGAATTTCATTTTGCATAAAATGTCTCCAGAAGAAACCAACAGTGCTGTTGGCCGCCATTAGAACTACCGATGTTGGCGTCGCCACTTTCTCGTTGATGCGAAAAAGTAGAGTTAGCATGGAAAAGGAGCAGATATCAACGCCAGAACCAGCAAAGCCAGTAAATATCCCTTAAATTCATTCAAATGTTTCATTTTGTTGTTAATCCATCTTGAAACTAATGAAATTTTCGTGAGAATCAGAATAATATCAGTTCTTCATCAGTCTTCAATAGTAACTCTATTCTACTTTTACTGATAACATACTGATAACATTTCTGCTGAAGCTGTTTCGTTTATAAATAATACTGTAATGTGTTGGAAATTATTTCAAGCAGTCTTAGACTAATCTCATACAAGTTTTTCAGCTACTTCACTTGCAAAATTGCAATCAGTAAGTGAAGGAAGGAAGAATAGACAAGCTCATACGCATGTTGACTACTGATAATTACTTAATACTTTAAGTTATCTCTACTTTCTTGCATGGCGACCAGTCTTAAACTAATTTCATATGTGTTTTTTTCTGGGGATTATTTCTGAGGAGGCAAATTTTGAATTACACAAAAGCATACTCAGTCAGTGTTTCATTATAGGCAAACATATGTCATTATTACCTCCCATAAATCCGTTGATCATCAAAATCAACGCTTTCGCTTTCGTGAACGTAGTAATTTTATTGAAAGTTTTACGCTTTTTTTCGAAATTCAGTATACACAGTGCCATTGCAAAGGCAAAAAATATAGACACAAATATCATTTTCTTTTGATCCGATGTCATCAGCGGGTCAATAATCTATAAAAATGAACAATAAAGTGAGTAATTGATACATCAAGCTACAGTTATCTCTCATTATTGCCACTACTTACAAAAAGTATCTTTATTTTGTATCACACTTTGACGTATATTGCAATACGGTATTTGCCAAAGTTTCACTATATGTAACTTCAATTATCAGTTACTACTACTTTTCATACTTTCTTTCCAATGAATTGCTTTCTTGCATAATTTTAGCCAGTACTATTATTGAGAATAGCATAAAATATTATTGCAGAGACTAAATTGTAATTAGCTAAAAACTGTCAGTTATGAAAGTTGGAAACACCTAATAACGAATAGTAACCTCAAGCCCGAAAATGATTCCGAATATGGCACCCGCTGTTGAAAAAACTATCGAATGCCACTCAATAAGTATTCTCGTAAAAAATATTGTAAACGAAGCCGCGCTCAAACCTACAAACTTGTCATTTGGCTGAAAAGTGAGTACATCAGTCAGAACTTACTTATCAGACATTGAACGATTAATTTTCGCACTTTAACGTCGATCAAAGAAGTAGTTAAGCTGAGAAACTCAGAAAGATTGAGTGATTCTATTCACGTAATTTCAAGTATTTCAATCCATACCATCAGAGTTTCGTAAAATAATTTCTAATTATAAAAGTCACTACGAAAAATTACTATTTTTCAATCATTATTTTTAATACCGCAAGATTGTATCATTAATGAAAAATCCCGGGCAACTGTGGGATTGATGTTAAGTGCCAAAGTCATTACTGGAAATGCCACTGCTCCGCCGCCTTCTGTAGTCATTCCTGTAAACCTTTTGTTCATTTCAACTGAAATATGTGTACAATTGAGTGGTGATTATTTTATCAACTTTTTCACTTGATCAAGCACTCATTTCGAATTTATCATTTCCAAAGAAAGTTACTAATTTTTAATTATGAATAATTCTGCAAGTTAAACATTTTTAGGACTTCCAAAATGTATTACTTGCTTCACTCTACTATTACACTGTTTCAAGGTTCGAAATTATAAATAAATAAATAAATAAATAAATAAATAAATAAATAAATAAATAAATAAACAAATAAATGAATAAATAAAGTAAATAATAAATTAGCTTGAAAAATCCAATCATACTTAAGTAAAAGATTAATCAAGTTATCCTGATATCATATCTTTACCTCCAATTAAAGCCCCAAAAATCATTACTATGGACATAACATATTTTTCGCCAAAATAATGATAAAAATGGTAACGAAAAGCCATTAACCAGTAAATTGTCTGGAAAAAGACGAATGGAATGAGAATACCTGAAACATATTTGTTCATAAGCAAGTCTTCTTTAGTACTTATTACTTAAAATATGTATCCATCCATATTCCTCACTCTCAGTATTTTTATATAAAACCAGATGGAATGGAGCTCTCGTATCCTTCAATATAGAAATAGCGATGCCAGTAAAAAAATTTGAGAAGTCTCGAAATGCGTTTCTTTATATTTTATATCAAAAAATAATACATTGCTCACCAAATAATTTGCGGTGTCTATCGAGCAAATCATCAATACCCCATGTGGTACCATTTTCAGAACTTGCTTGCAAATTTGTATTTTCGTCATGAGAATATTTCTCTCCTAAATAAAAAGTATTTCATAATAAATTACTTTATTTAAAGATCAATTAAAAAGTAATTACTTGTGCAAGTTTTAATTAAGCCGATAATTTCTTTTCAAATTTACTCCCAATTCATAAGTAAATACTGATAGTGATGATAAGCAATCAAATTATTTGATATGTTTACCCTCGCAGAAGTATTTCCTAAGAAAGTGCATCAGACTGCTGCTACTTCTGACTTTGTCAGACGCTACCGTAATGTCATTCTCTAGATTTGCAGCACTCATACCAAACAATTTCAGACCTAAAAGACTTGGAAATGAATATTCGAAACTACCTAAATAACTCGTATTACAGAAATAAGAGGGCGTGTGTGTTGCAATCTGCAGTGTTGTGCGTGTGGTCTGTTTGAGTGTGCTAAAGTTTGATCTTTTTTACAACTCATATAATTTCCTGAACTTACTAACTTAAGGACTTGTATTTACTTATTTACTTCTGATTATCAACTCCATCGCGTAGATAGCCATCAATACTACAAAAGTTGTGCATTTGAATTGAAAGGATGAGTTTGTATAATTTTATAACCATCAATAAATAAAATGATTACAATACTTGCTAGTGTCCCATGCAAAAACAGTTTGTGAGTGAATCAGTCTCTTGTCAGTTTTGTTTTCATATTGAATAATCAGCTTCACATTCATTACCTTTCAAGGTCAGGCTCCATCACTTCATAATCAAGTACCGTTATAATTGTGACCTCATGTCATTACTCTCGCCCCATTAAATGATTACTATCGAGTGACTCGTATTCAATCACTGATTGCTTACCTTTCTTTGTAATACATGAATACATATCACTGAAGCAGTTGATACATTTAATAACATTATGTCAACGAATGCAGCCGGGCATTTTCATTCTTTCTCTTCACACTACTCTTTCAGTACCAAATTACATGCTTAATTCAGAATGACAAGCGGTACATTTCGAGACCATTTTGAAAACAAAGTGGACATGTCATTTTCTTGTTACTTCTTTATTTGCTGCTTCTGACCAACATTATGCAATAATTACAGTTGACAGCTGAAGGTCATCAGTTAAAGATTTGAAATCTGCACGTGTCATCACTCATGGAGATGCTCAGCCTTATGGCCTTGTTCAAGCAAAATCTTTTATAAAAATAGTCTTACAAAGTACAGATTTAATTTGAATCAAAAACATAAACTAATTTGCGTATGCGTATTGCGAGATTATTTATCGACTGCAATAGATTTCTGAAAATCCGAAGTCCATCAGAATTTGGTCTACTATCTTCTGCAATGAACTGAACAAGATCGGAAAGAAAGTTATGGAACGTTTTCAGAGAGAAGTCGGAAATTGTGCTATGAATGTACTGCTTGAGAATGAAAATTAATTGCAGTATATTTGAATACTTTCTGGTCACAAAATTTCGGAATTTTTTTGGAAACTTTACGTCAGAAATTATGATTAAGTTTGAAGTACTACAAAAATGACAAGATTGATTTCCTGCCCTTTTAAAATGTAAAAATGTCAGTGTCTTTGCGAGTAATAACTGAAAGAGTTGATATGTTCTTCAGTACTTGCAAGAATTTGATGTCGTTTACAAGCAAGCCCATAGAATGCAAACTTGAAAATAGTATAGAAGACATGTGGACCGGTCGTAGTGTAATGCCTCGAGCGAATTCACCATTTCATCTTCAAAGAAGAACAAACTCATCCTTACCGTTTTTTGCACCCTTAGCAGCAGCAGTCATGCATTGCATGATAACTTGCCAGTTTTCTTATTTAGCACTTTCGTTAGCATAGAAATGGGAACCGTCATCATATATATATATATATATATAATGCGGTTCCCATTTCTAACAGTTTTTACAAAAACAGATTTCATTTGTAGCAAAAACAAAAACAAAAACATAGACTAATTTGTGTGTGAATGTTGCAAGATTGCTGCTGAAAATCGATATAACATTTCAGTGCAGCAGTTTGTGAAATAAGTTTGTTGCACACAACATATGAAGAACAGTCCTTCTCAAGAATGACTTCTTTCTATCACTTCAAATTCCATATTTTTCCAGCTTTCAGTTAGCAACAAGAAAGAGTTGAACAGCTACAGAATTACTGCAACTACGTGAAAGAACTTCTACTCCTTACCGTTTAATGTAATTTTTGGCTACCAGAAAAGACTCAACTGAATCTCACACATGGCAGGAGTTTGATACGAAATATTTCTGATTAACAGAAGTAATTTTCATGTGTGGTGCATTATTGCATTCACTTGTTGACAATTTATAATACATTGCTTGTGCTATCACTGTGATCAATTTCCCTTATCAGTTCTTGCATTAAATAATCACCAATATGCATTATCATTTGCCTCACTCCAGAGCAAGCAAGCAGTAATTATCAGCAATTCTTATTTTATACACTCTTATGACTCATGAATTCGCCACAGGTAATTTTCAAGCTTAAATATCTTCAATGCTTTTGAAAAAACTTCACCTACGATAATGATAGATCTTCATTTTTATTTTTTTTAATTTCAACAGATGCAAATTATCGCTAAGCAGTTAGAAGCAATAAACGATAACATAAATCTATTCTATCATTTTCATTTTTATTCAATTATGCTGGAAATGATGTACGAGCAGTTAATCAAATAAATAATAAATTTAATTCAGCCATGCACTTCATCCGACGTATGCTCCATTACACCCAAGAATCATTTCTTATTCAAAATTTTAATCATCGGCGACGTTGGCACCGGAAAATCTTCTATAGTACAGCGATATGCTCACAATTTCTTCAGTAGACATTACAAAGCGACGGTTGTAATGCCATATTACTTTAATACAAATTTATATGTTTCATCTCTAGTATTAGAATCAATTTGCCTTAGAATATACTAAACTACTTGATTTAAATTAAATAAGCTTACTTAGCTCTTCCTATTTCAAAAAATCCGTGAAAAACTTGCTTTCTTAAACCTACTCAATTATAGACAATTCAGGTTGGTGTTGACTTTGCTACCAAAACACTGATACAAAGTGATGGTACAACTATTCGCTTACAGTTATGGGATATCTCAGGTGAATTATTTGAAATGCAAGGATAACGAATCAGACAAAATAAATATTTTATATCTCTTATCTAATTTAATTTTGAACGTGACGTATGCTCTAATACTAAGATTTAAAATCCTAAAAAATATTTTTCTACATGTTGAATGATGACAGGTCAAGACCGATTCAGCAATATGACACGGGTGTACTATAAAGATGCTCATGGTGCCATCGTAGTATTCGATAGTACGCGTCAGAACACATTTGATGGGGCACTACGATGGAAAGCTGATTTGGATAGCAAAATTACATTGGCTAATGAAAAGTCGTTACCTGTGGTTCTTGTTGCTAATAAGGTTTGCTTTATTTAAAATAATGAAGAAATTAAGAGCAAGTAAGCAAATAGCCATTCCTAAAACAATGCAGACGTCGAAGGCGTAAATACTAAATAACTTGACACTTTCATAATGATTACTTCAGAACTTCAATTCATTAGAAAAAGGCATAAATTAGCAATCTATAATACCTTCTCCAAGATGACTGCAAATGAATCATCCATACTTACTGCCTTACATCTATAATGGTGATTCTCAAGAATTAATTCTCGTCAAAACTGACTGATTGATTTCAGGCAGATCTCAACAACATCATAACAAACGAACTTCTAAAAGAGTATAAGGAAATAGGTAATTTCCTGAATGCTATGAAAACATCCGCAAAAGCTAATTATGGCATCGAAGAAGCCTTTGATTTTTTAGTAGAACAGGTAAATCGATAAGGAACAAAAACAAATTTGAGTTTATTTTTTCATCAGTTCAGAATTTCAGACTGGGATCCGAATGGAAGTGAAATAAATTTAAAGATAACTGAAATGTTACATAAACAAATACTCCTTTGATTTTCATTCTAATCTATCCTTTCAGATTCTTGAAACTGAGAAGAGTGGACAGTATATATTGCCTTATTTTCAAGACAGGGAGAAAATCAGAAAATTGCACCAAATACCGGAAAGAAGAAAGTTTGGGTTTAGGACACCCTCGTGCTGTAACTGATTCACATTTTGCAAAATTTACAGCAATGTCTAAACAACTGATGCCTCAAAAAGATTAATTCTTCTTACCACATAATGGTTTTGATCACTTTCAAATCAGTAATTTAACAGTGTAAAATTTAGCAGTTGGAGACAGACTTCTAAAAGAATAAAAATATTTCGGGAATTTTTTGCACACAATACTACCGCACATAATCGCCATCTGACAAGGCAATCAGTCCACAGTCCCTCAACTTTTCTTCAGTTGTTGCCCTTGCACTGCAAAAAAATTGTAGTTATTTCTAATTTTTTTTCGAAGTAAAAGAATGCATGAAGCTTATTAGCTAAAATCTTCTGAAACTTTCAAATTAAATAAACATACCATCCATCCCGAACAATACTGAAGGTACCGGGTATGCTTAAATTCACTACTGTACTACCCTCATAATTTAGTGTACCATCAGGACGCTTTAACAAACCACCATCAACAATCAAGTCCAATTGTGGCCACAAATCAGTAAAGTCCTATAATTCTTTTTATATAAGGAATGATCAACCTCACATTTTGAAAATTTTGGATTCCATTTTAAACTTCAAAAATCACGAAAGTTTACAGAAGAATGTTCTGAGTATGCACTAAGGCGAAGCATTTTCTCTTAAAGAGAAATGACTTTAAAAATCAATGACATTGCAGTAATTCTAAAATAAATTGGCTCTCTTTGATCACCTTAGTAAGAAGCATCGACCTATTTTTTCCAAACTCCTAGTGGAAAATTTTCTTCAAACTCACATCAATACAAAGTGGATTATTTTGAGCATTAGAAATGTTAGCACTAGTTTGTGCAAGCGGAATATCATTTAAGTGAAGAGCAAGGGAACGAATAAAATCGTGATCGGGGATACGAATGCCCACTGTACTGTGATTAGGGTTAAAGTCTCTCGGCAGAACAGCAGAACGCTCAAAAATCAATGTCACTGGTCCTGGTAATAATTTTTGCAACTGATTACTTTCAACAGTTTGTCGGCACCATCTGAAAATCACGAAGTTGATTTCTCGTGAAGCTCATCTCTCGTGTTTTTATTTGCCTATGAACTCCTTTGAATTTGGGTCACAACAAAATACAAAGGAATTTTTCACGTCATCCCTGAATAACTATCCTAGTTTTAAAAATAAAATAAAAACAACGCTAGTCTCCCCACGCCTGATACAAATAGTACTTATGTAATCTTTCATATAAAATAAAAAGGAAAAGCTATAGCCAGAAACCAAGTAAGAATATTATCTGAGGTCCATACACAACTCATCATTATATAGTCTTAACACCTAACCTCTGCACTTCAAAGGTATTAGCAATGAATAGACCGAGAGGTTTGAAATAACTGCGACGTTTGAGCCTATAAAGTTTGTCAGAATTTGGTATAGTAGTGACTACGCCATATAATGTGTCTGTTGGCAAAGCAACCACACCACCTGATTCAAATACTCTCAAGCAACGTTGAATTGCCGAATCAAAAGCTAAATAAATTGTCCGCGACATAAAATTAATACACTGAACCACATATTTCTTTAAAGAATTACTGAATTACTTTACATGATATATGAAATATGATGAATATTGAACTTTTCCCCCCTTATCTGCCAATTCAAAAATTCTTCATAAATCTTATATTCAAAAATGAGAGTTGGAGCAAACTTACTTGACTCGCTAAGTCTCACAACTTTATCCATCGCATAACCCCTGCAGTCAAGCAAATTAAAGATAGATGAATATGAAGACTACAAACTTCACACTAGCACGTTATCAAATGGTGATATCCCAGAACTGACCTCACAAAAGTTGAAAAATATCTTAATAAACTTAAATTTTAGGTATCCAGAATCTACTATGGTAAAAGCCATCTCAATCAAAACCGGATATCGTATTATATATGATGAAATAAAAAAATCATGTTTTACGTAAACACCCATCAAAAAAGCATATGTCAGAAGCAATATGATAAATGCAATCGCTGTATTCGAAAACAAGCAACATTTTCTGAAAATTTGACCAAAGAAACAGGAAAAATTGTGATATAAAATTACTCATAATATTATGCTCTATAGTCGTGAAATGCAACAACAATGTAAAAAAAATACTCCGCATAGTACAATATAAATCTGAAAAAAGTTCATAACATATATAAACACAGTCAGTGTTTGGAGTACATCTACGATCATATAGTATCTAATATCACAAATAAGAGTGAGAAGTACAATCATGACAATAAAAAGCTAAAATGATTAAGCAACGAAAAAATACGACACAAAATAATGAAAGATAATACGACTACTTTTTTCCGATACTCATTTTCTGTACTTCACAACATGGCGATAAATTGGTGTAGAGTGACATACACTCCTTTTACTTCTATCCCTTTCGTGATGTCTTTCACTTGCCTAAAATAGAGTCAAATGAAAAGAGCATTTTTGAGCATAAATCTCTTTAAGATGTGCAATCACAGGTTCCATATGAAATCCTGTATAAAAAGGTGCCTTTCGAATCTGAAACTATATATATTAAGTCTTCCGGTAGATCACAATCATGATTAATCACATAGTAAATAATGAATAAAATTAATCAATATACCCCTGCCGAATAAAAGCCTTTTTCATCCTTTTTCTGAGCAAAGTCACCTTTAAATATAACTCGATTCCTGGATTTGTTGTGCGGTTGTCGATTTCTAAGATCGGAGTCTAAAAAAGTGATTCTTTAGTCAACCACATTAAATAACTTCAACAGATGAAAGACCAGAATAATTTTAAATATATATATTAGTTTCTTGCGCCAGAATCAATAAGGCGAAAAGACTAACCAAATTTCCTAACATTAAAAAGAATTCAAACACTATTCTGATCTTACGGTGAATGAACAAGAAAAATCTAAATGTACAAAAACATATATGTAAATATATATACGTTTACTACCTATTCCTGAATCACGACTTCTAGACCGAGAGAATCGATGACACTCATGACGATATAATTTAGATTTTTCGAAAGCTGAAAGACTACGAGTGCGTTCTTGACTATTTTCACTTTTGAAATCTTCATTTACAAGCATTTGTGAATCACGACATATATGATGGTTTCGACATCCATAATCTGAATTATTATAACAGTATGCTACGCGTATTATGAAATTTAAAAAATATGCATAATATATAAAAGACTCATAAAATAAAATATGCATAAAACTCGATAACTTTACAACTTTTGTTGAGAATCTTAAGCATTTATAATAAAGAATATTACGATCAAGCGCTTTGAGCATATTCCGAGAACAGACAGGATCAGAACGCATATCTGAGTGATCTGATATATTACCAGTCCACTTTTGAGGAGGTATAGTTGGTGGTGAACTGAGTGTGATAGAATTATGCAGAATTTGTTCTTGTTCATGCACCGTAAGATCTTGTCGTACCCGAAGTTGCGGGTTTAAATTTTGTAAAAAACTGCGAGATGTGGAACAGTTTGACAGAGGAACATTCATAACTGAATTGGATGATCTGTTTTCGAAACTATGTTCTGCAACATTACATTTCTAAATACTTGGTCAGAAATCATTTACAAATTAAATCTTTTACACCTAAATAAACATTGACATTTTAGAAAGTGATCAGAGATCCAAGAAAAGCTAAGTGAGAATACCCAGTTTGTATTAAAAATAACCTTCCACAGAATTTTCTGGATTTACTGAGATCGTAATTAATAATTCATGAAGAAGTTCACGAGCACGAGCAATCTGTGCAGGACTTAAACTCGTATCATTCGCTATCCACGACTGCGCATCTTAAAGCATCAATATTTATGAATAAGATTATCATTAAATGAGGAATCGCAATGATTAACTTATTAACATGTGCTGACTGATATTAAAAAATACTACAAAGCTTAATTTGTGAGTAAAGGACTAAAGTTGAAAAGAGTAATCCACATAATGATTTCCAATATTAATAAGTTAGTTAACTTTAGATCATTCCATTTATGCAAACAGAAAAATATTTTATATAGCGAACTTTGTATGCTATTCACGTTGAGCAGCGAGTGTCCTCCCAAAAAATTTTCTATGCACCAACTTGCCAAATCTGAAAAGACTACGCACGCAGTGGATTCAAAACCAAATAAAAGGAAACTCATAAACAATCAGACGATTCTCTTCTACATACTTGGGCACTATTAATACAAGTCTATAGTCAAAAATAAAAAATTTCTATACAATAAATAAACGCAGTGAAACAGAACAGACTGGAAAAGAAATGACTGCAACTACTACTATTACTTTGCACGATTAGTTATGATTTGGCTGAGAAATAATAACTTTTTGTGTTTACCACTACTATAACTTGAAGACTGCATTCGCCTTTCGCTTAAGTTTAGTTCTCGACGTAAGTGCTTTTCTCTCCTCGGTCGTTCTAAAGTAATTTCCGAACCACGTCCATCATAACGCCTTACTGGGTCATGTTCTCTTAAAATCGCTATTAAATGATTTAATTAACTTGAAAATAACAAAAAAAGAACTTTCATGATGATTAACAGATATTAAAGTTATAGAGCAATTATAAAAAAGGACCACGTCTAAAACTATGTTCTGCACACGCACCTAGCCATTTTCCATCTGTAAAGCATGTAATTATTTGCAACAATTGAGGGGAATAAAATTTAAAACTAGAAATTTCTGAAGAGATTTTTAGAATAATGTGAAGGAGTGCATCAAAAAACTGTTCTCACATTAATTTAATTGAGAAACTTTTAGTGGAATATTATCAAACAATAAAGCCTGAAATACGTATACTAAATTTCTCCAGTATTCTGCTCATAATAATAAGAGTATATTTAATATTAATACCAAAGAATGCCATGATCATAGACAAGAATAAGTTTTATCCAGAACAATCAAACAAAATGCACTACTCACTGTTCCTGTTCTATTCTTTGTTTTTTTCCAGTAATTAGGCCAAAATATCGCATGTTTCAAGATATAAGAGCTAAATATCTGGAAGTTCATTCCCCCACAAACTGCACTACGAAATTTGACTTCAACTCTAGTAAAATTCCACAACAGAAGAAATACAGATTTTTTTTGAGTATCTATAATTACCAGCTTTTAAAGAGTAAAAATACAAGGAAAAAAATAGGAAATATCAGCTTGCAAATTTAATATAGAATCAGGTTTATCATTTTGGTGAGAGTAAAAATTGAAGTAAATGAGAAACCAACATGAATTAGAAATTTAGAAGACTCCAAAGATTATGGGCCAGAGAACATTTACGTGTATAATAAAATTAATAATCCAGTCGAATTCCATATTTCTCAATAATTAAGTTTTGCAATCCTATACTGGACTCAACAATCTGTGCACAAACAAATGACGGTCTTCTTCTGACTCATATCATAGAACATAGCATGATTGAACCTCGAGGTTTTGACCCTGTGATATTTGGACCAAAATCTTTCTCGGATTTAGTTGCATACCAGAAAATAATAAAATCCATTTTGCTTCATCCACTTAATATGCTTCAAAGATATTTGGCGAAATCGATAGAAAATATGTGCAGCTTTTAAAATACTTTTTACTGCTCTCTTACAAAGAAAATGCATTTTATGAAGTGTCACGAAATTTAGCAGCATTCTTTTTGAGACAGTTACAGAATTACAACTACGTCAAATAAAAACGAGATCAGCATTATTGACCGTCATAACCAGAATAAGTACAGTATTTGGATTAAGAAGTGTAAGGACCAATACACCCAGCGTAATTTGAACTCAAAAGCTCCGCACATATCCTGTGTGATTATACTCCACAAATGCTAGTAATGAAGTGGCCATTTACTTTCACAAACATTATGTTTAAACTATTGTTTCAAAGAGATGATAGCATAGAAAACTAAATCCCTACAAAGGCAGAAATCAAGAAGGATCATTCCATAACATACAAGGGAATTACAAAAGCTCTACAGAAATTAAAGCAAAGCTTAACATGTAACATACAAATGCTTGTGATATTCCATAGAACCAGTTCTATTAGGTGTAGGCGATCTCCTGATAACTGATCCGTCTAATCCATTGTTATCATCATCCAACCGCTCCCTCCATCGATGCCCTATACGGTCACTTGCTGAATGGCTTTCAATCTTCTTCAGTCCCTGTTGAATTTCAAAATTCACGAAAAATTTTTAAACATTTATATGACAAGTATCTCTAAATGATGCAATGACAAACAAACAATTACACCAAATTATGTTCGTGAAAGTTATTATTAAGAACAAAAATGCTACACTCCTTTCAAAATCTAGAAAATGGAAGTGAAAATTAAAAAAAGTCCTGATACTGTTAAAAACTACAAAGATTTCTCTTTATGCAACTTTTTTCCACTGCATGGAGGCATGATTATAAAACCAAGTATTTCCCAAATTCTACTAGATATGAAGATATCAATTACATAATAATCCCAACTCTTGTTTTGATAATTCAATCTCACAAATATAGTCGCATCATAGAATTGATAAAACGAACAATTCAGTAAAGCACATTTAGAGTTCACCCCTTTTAGAAGTGTCCATCAGATGATCAGATTAAATGAATTTGAAAACACGTCCTTTTTAAATTCGATTATTTCGGTCAATACGCAAACGAAGAAAAAGTGTCTGATATGATCCAAAATCAGAATACTGATAAAAATTTTCCTTTACTTGAATAAGTTTACGGTACATGCTGAGTACAAGTATTATATAGCACATCTTCGAACCTCACAGTAAATTCATACTGCAAAAATATTCATAGGATTCTCGAAATATGTGAGCGCTGCACAAATCAAAATATATGATGCCGAAAATATGTAACCTCAAGTTCATTAAAATAAAGTTGGCAGCAAGTTGTCAGCGACAAATCTTTGATCAGGAAAAATGTATAACCTTGATTTACGATCCATGGAAATGATGACATAAATTTGGAGTTTTATAAATACTTACAACATTAAAGTATCTTCAGATTTTCATGTCCCTGCACATTTTTTGAAACGCGTTGCAATACTTTTGACTTATATTTATGTCTTGAAAAACTTTTCAGAGTAAGTTTTTCAGTTTGTTGGCAACCGAATAATGGAAGACTAGAAAATATGACATGAGTAACCAAACTATCATTAAACCATTAAGCGTTTCATTTTTTCAGTACAGACATCTTTACTGCTTTCCAGAAACTAAGCATTTCATTGAGCGTTTCACTGTATATGACAACACATAAATATTTTCAATTAAGGAATATGATCTTAAGAAATTAGTCTACACTCGAATTCCAAAATATTTTAACCCTGGACGCTTCTGTTTAAAGATAAATCAATCAGTAGTACGTTTGCAGGTAAAATGCAATCCACGAGTTCTTTTCGATGCAAATCAAAAATTTTTCTTTGGCTTTTGTTTTTCACAGATTTTAAATAAAAGAGTTGAATTATGAAGAACTTGAATAAAATGAGTATGACGAACTTATAAACTGAAGTGAAACAGAAAAAGTGACAAGTATACCATTACATTACGACGCTGTGATTCACGGCCAGGTGTTGTGGCTTCTGATACAAAACGTCTATTGTTAACGACTGGACTTACACAGCGATGACTACGCCAAATGCGACGTCTTTCTAACAATGGTGGCTATAAACACGATAATTTTAACTACATCAAGGATAACTGAAACTGTAAATATTTCATTAATAAGAAGAATTTATTTACATACCGTACCATCACGTCTCGATCTTTCACCACGCTCAACTTCACGGTGATACATATTAACACCTGTAAATATGTTTAACACTTTACCTTACGACAATACCTGACTGCAACTAAATTGTGATCTCAAGGTTTAATCTATCTCCAACAGAATTATTCATTACGATATTTTAAGTCTTATAGCATTTAATAAAAAATCGAAGTAGATGTGCTAAGGACTGTAATATATAACGGGCAGGATGATCGAGAAGAAACTTATCAGTACACTTACTAATGTAATATAAAAGGGATTCCAAGTAACCACATATTACGATGCAAAAGCAAGAAAGATTGATTGTTGAAGGAGTTGAAATTGGAAACAAGACGCTTGAATTACTCGCGTAACATGGCTACACCATTCGAGCATATATGTTGTAAACGCTCTTACTGATATTGTTTTCGCAAAAACGAGCTGGTATTTCATGGCTGGCACAACTTTCCTTCTGTTTCGTAAGTCAATGAAGACAATTCACGTTGCCCAAGAAAAAGATTGACGCTATTATGTTTTGATTTTGATCCATTGAGGATGGCGGAAAATGGAATTAAGCAGTGAATAAGGAACTGAAATGTATTTTGCATTTACGAGCAGTTATAGTTTTTATGCTCAGTTCATCTTCTGATGAGTTAATAGCAGTTTAAAAATCGGATTCCCTTCACACTTCTATTTGTATTTGAAGTTAGCATACTTTTCAGGATGAGAATTGAGAAGTGCTACTTTTGCTCCTCAAACATCTATCCTGGTCACGGGATCATATTCGTCAGGAACGATTGCACTGTCAGTTTACTCTTAGCAAATAATATTTAATGGGTGAAATTAATCTTTACTACTTAGAACTTTTGATTCATTGATTTGAAACCGCAAATGTATAGCATTTTTTGAGGTATTTCGGTTTTGTCGCTCAAAGTGTCATAAGTTATTCAAGAAGAAGCGCAATCCGAGAAAGACAAAGTGGACGAAAGCTTCTCGCGTGGCTCGAGGGAAAGAATTGAAAAATGATAGCACGTTTGCTCTCGAAGCACGTCGTAACGAGCCTCTCAAGTATGAACGACTATTATGGCGTAAAGCAGGTCTGTTCTAGTTAATATGACTACTAATTTTTTTAATTGCTTGACGCTGCTTGAGATTTTTCATTCTTATCATTAGTTATATCATTGCTAGCAGCAAGTTTCTAACGAGTAATTTTTGGTTTAGATTGATAATGTGCATTATGTGTATTAGTTGTATAAATTTATTTGTGTTTAAAAATGTTTACGTAGTAACAAACTTTGCTATGTCGATTATTACTTTTTATATTGCAAATATCGGGTAATCTGTGATTTGTGTCGTTTATTATCAGTCCTGACTTTTGATCATCTGTTACTTATGAATAGTTTTTTGCTTAGTACTTCCACGATGTCTTGCTTTTATTTTCACATATGTTTACAGTTGATGCTGCCAAAGAAATATTACCAATAAGAGAGAAACGTTACGGTGAACATATCAAAAAGACTTTGCAACCTGGAAGAGCTGTTAAGCGTATCGGGGATTTAGAAAGGGCACAGAAGAAGATATATCTAATACGTGCTCCCCTGACATCGACAAAACAAGCTCTGTGCCTAGAATCTCAACAAAAACAGGAAGAAGATATGGAAATAAATTAGAAGGGATAATTTTGCTTATGCAAGTTATCATTTTGTATATTATCATCAATTTTGCAAATGGGAAGACATCTTGTTGTTAATCTGTAATTTTAGTATTTCCATATAAATGAAAAATTATTTAGTGATTATAAATAAATTACTGACCCAAGCGAATTGTTTTCTTAACTTATAGTGATATAACTGAGGGGACAGAATTTTATGAATTTTATGCATTCTGTTACCTTATTTATTCAAGCTTGGTAAATTATATGATGCTTTTTGCTCAAAAATAATGCATGAAAATATAATGTAGAGTGGTAGTCATTGGATAATTAGCTTTGCTAATTAACAAAAGTAAAACTGTAGGTGTGTGTCGGTTTGTTTGTGTGAGCATTGGATCATTTTGGTTTGTAGGAAGAGTGCTGGGAGTTGACATTTTAATGCAAATACCGCCCTGGTTGCTGGTATTGTATTGCAAGAAAGTGACGAGGGCTGAGGTAAAGAGCAAGACGAGAAGTATTTAATTCTCTCTGAGTGTATGAGTATTCGTGTACATGTGTGTCTAGTAGAACTGCATGGCTCGATCATTTTTTGTTTTGTGTTCATTCTAAAAATTTGTGATCGGGTAGGTGGTGTGTGTTCTTTACAATTGATATTTCATATTGAGCAACGATTTGACCCTCAAATGATAACCTCTGACATATGCCGAACCAGTTTTTGCTGTAATGACAGAAAATACTATTATTAATACGATAGACTACCATTCCATTTTAATTAAAGTCCTCTAAGATTTTAAATTAGTTTGCAAAATCTCTCTATCTAAGGTATTGGCAAATATTTTATATTTTGACGTACACGTACGTGTGCATACTGTTTAAATCTTAGTACCTAAATTGTGGATTATAGGCATTAGGGACGCCGAATACTGATAGAAACCCGTGAGTGTGTGTGTGAGTGAGTGAGTGAGCAGATATTTGGAGGCAAAATGGGTTCCTGCTTGGGTAAAAAATTGTCATCAGCGAAACTTGAAAGTGTTCATGCAAATACGATAATACCGGTGGTTAATTCAACAGCGTTAACCACTACCTCCTTGCCAGCCGCTACTACAGTTATCATGGAGCCATCATCAGCTAGCAGAAGTATCGCTTCCACGAACACAACTCACAATATATCAGACAGTTCTGCACCTCTCTTTGTGGCTTTATTCGACTACGATGCTCGTACGGATGAAGATTTAAGTTTTAAGAAGGATGAACTCTTGTACATACTAAATGATATGCAAGGAGACTGGTGGTATGCTAAGAGCAAAAAGAGTAATCTCTGTGGTTATATCCCTTCTAACTATGTGGCACAGGAAAAAAGTCTCGATGCTCAAGCGTAAGTAGACTTTCTACTTTCTTCTGATTGTTGAAGTAATTATTGCAAGGCTACTTCGCAATACTTCTAAGATATGTTAATATAAGGCTTGTATAATTGTGCGAACTACGTCTTCATTACAGTTCTATTGACTGCCATAACCTTACTATTATGACAATTTCATAGTGCTCAGAGTGGTTCATTGAAGTTTGATATATTGATGTTGGTTCATTACAACTGTAACAAGCATATAAGCAAATGTTTAATATTCATTTGAACTGTTTACTTGTAATTAACTAGAAAAATGTACCAAGAAAATTTATTTTTCACAATGTTTGTGAGTTTCATCTCAGGTTTTTTAATACGCAAGACGTATACTTAGCTGATTAGCTTAGTTGTGATGGACAAAGAATCACTTCCTCTTAAATTAATTAATACCAATTTCACTTGTCAAGATTAGTTGTGGTAAATTTGCTATTGAACTGACGGATTCAAATACTATGCATATTTGCTACGACTGAGATACTTTTAACTTAATTTTGGCTCTTCCAAAAGAACTGAAATTTGCAAACTGTTTGATTTTAATTTGGCATCCTTAATTTTTTAACTGCCTTAGGCTATGGAAAAGACGTCGGTGTTGTCGTAGTGGAAGGGGATACTACTCATAATAGGCGCTTTGCTTCTTAGCTATGACTCTTTTTAGTTCATATAAGATACGCTGGCAGTGTTTTTTTTTCGGAATTGCATTGTTGTATAACTTTGTTATGGTATTAAAACAGAGTCCTTCACTGTGATTCCAGTCATGTATTTTGCAGAATACTCCCTCAGTTTAGTTAATTAAAGAATCTGATGAGAGCAGTATGCAATGTTATGTGGATGCGAGCTGGAATAAATGTTACGGAAGTGGAATGAGTAAATTGAGATAGTTTTTTTCCATATTCCGAGTGATTTTTCATTCGTTCATGCATTCGTATGATAAGATTAATACCAAAAATAAAAAAGTAATTTTTGACTGTTATTTTTCTCGCTATAACAAGGAAATAAATGAGACATTCATTTGGATCACTTAATGTAAACGATTTTAGATTTAGGTCACTTCCTATTGAATTCTCATACATTTTTGTTGCGCAGTAGTTAGTGTTAGGATCGAGAACAAAGATTAAGGCAGTATCAATGATGTAATGGCATTCTTCATGTGCGTACATTAACGAGCAAATTATGCAGCAGAATTTAAAATAAGTAAAGTTGAAATACACCTCAAGCTTGCCATCTTTAATTACCACTTTGAGAATTCCTGAACTTGAAACTGGTTCACAGTCGAAACTGTAATCTAGCATGATCAGTATACGTTATTTCTTTACTCATTTCAAATAATGGACTCGCTAATAGCAAAAAAAAATTTGAGGTGTTGGCTGGTTGCAAAAGTTGCTTCCATTTTCGAATGATTAGCATACTTGTTCGAATTTTAAGTAAGTTAAATTTTTATTAGAAAAATGTGCATTAAGTCGAATTTGGATTCTTTGGGAATACCAGTACAAGATATTGTATCATAAAGACTTATGCCTCAGTTTACTGTATTTATCTTTTTCAAAGGAAAGTGGAAGCAAGTTTTCAACAGACAATTTGGGTACAAAAAAGTTGTCTTGGATTTGCTTAATTTGTTTAGTGGATCTGAAGTTAACTGCGTCAGTGTGAGCAATGCTTCTAAGAGAGTAATTTTATTTCTAACAAAAAGTAGAAAATGATAGCAGAATTGCATGTATGTATATAAATAACACAAATTCAACAAAGTATTCTAATTATTTTTAGTAAATCTGAATAAATTTGAAGTAAAGAGGGAGTGATCGAGACTGTTGCATTCTGTACAAAAGTTTAGATCCTAACTGATCCACTCGAAATTGACACTTTAAATAATTTCACGCTGACAACTGTGAAAAAGGAATTGTCGAAAATGAAAGAATCAGAATCAGGTAGACATCCAATTTTCTCGAACAATTGTTTCTACCTCGAAAATTTGATTTCTGAATGTTTTATTTTGCTTCCTTTGTAAGTCAGAAAGAGAGATGCATTTCCCGATAACTTGAAACTGATTGAGCTTAAATTATTGAACTCTGCAAATTGACGCGATGCTTCGGTGTTTTTCTCACTTGCATAACTTTTCATTTCATTCGTTCTCACCACTTCATCTAAAGAAATAACAAAAAATCGCTATTCAACACAAAATGCAGCGAGCGTATGTTGTGCATGTCACCTTGGCCCAATTGTTCGCTGAACCGAAGTGTCAAAGGGTTCATCGAGAATTTTTATAATTTTCCGTAATACACCATCACTTTTCTTATTTAATTTATTTGTTTTACTTAGTAAAACTTATAAAGTTACTTTAGGGGTCGTCTCATGAGCAATGGTGTTGCAGTATACACAAATGCAGGAAAGCATTTCAATCCCATTTTACACTGTCAAAATTCGATATGTCAAAAGTGTAATCATAATTTATTGGGAAAATACGAAATTTTCGTAATTTAATAGTTGAATTTTAGGTGGTATTTTGGTGCAATTCGCAGAATTGAGGCTGAAAAATCGTTGCTTTTGAGTACGAATGAGCACGGCGCATTCCTTGTGCGAGATTCAGAAAGTAGACAGAATGACTTCTCATTGTCAGGTGAATGACAACTTTAGAAATGAATTGACTTGATGCAATCTTTTATGAGTAATTTAAATAAATTGGTAATAATTTTGATGTGCCCCAATTTGAAATATTCATTCTTAACCCGAGCTTATAATATGATCTAAATTTGTTTTCTCGTTGAAACGAACGAATTATTAAGATTTTTCAACTTCATATAATGAGCATCAATAATATTGCTACTTTGAAATGACTCTTCAAATCAATTTTTATTTCAGAAAGTTTCTCTCAAATTTAAAATCAAATAGTAATGAAATAACTTGCAGTTCGTGATGGCGATGCAGTAAAGCATTACCGGATCAGACAACTGGATCAAGGTGGATTTTATATAGCTCGAAGACGGCCATTCTGTACATTAAGCGAATTGATATCTCACTATCAACGAGAGCAAGATGGTTTGTGCGTATTGCTCAAACAACCCTGTACACGAGTGGATATTCCACAAACACGCACCTTTACATACGATGATCAGTGGGAAATCGATCGACGATCGATCCGATTGATCAGACAGATTGGAGCAGGACAGTTCGGTGAGGTTGGTGTAAATTAACTTTTTCTCGACAATATTATATCTTTAATTTGTTAGTACTTTTTCCTCTCACATGAGAGTTTCACTAGTGTTTTGTAAGAAAAAGTAATCAATTAGCTTAGATTATCAATTAGCTCATTGTTCACGACAATTTGACCTAAGTGATTAATCCCAGACTATATCTTTGTCTGTGAAGTTTTGGCTAAATCGTTCTATTGATATCGAACTGATAGCGCATGAGGGTAGGTGATTTACGTCACTGAACGCAAAATACGTGTGATTTTTAGGTGTGGGAAGGACGCTGGAATCATTCCACGCCCGTTGCCGTAAAAATGCTCAAAGTTGGTACCACTGATCCAAACGATTTTCTCTCTGAGGCACAAATAATGAAAAAACTAAGGCATCCCAAACTGCTTCAGTTGTATGCAGTGTGCACCAAAGACGAGCCTATTCTGATAATTACTGAATTGATGGACCAGAACTTACTACATTTTCTCCAGGTATTAATAATTTTGCGATACAGCATATAAAGTTAAGTACTAGTGAGTTCTGTTCATGCGAACATACATATTCTTGAATCTTATCTAAGTTTCTTTCTGTCATACATTTTTAAGTAAAAAACTACTATTTTTTGGTACATTGACATGAAACAAGCATTTTTTATTCTTTTTGTCCTATGAATTTCACAAAACTTTCAGTAATGCTCACAAGGATGAACTTTGTGGTGCAACATTTGAACTTTGATTCTCATGTAAATTTTCGTTTGACTGAATTCTTGAATTTGAAACAAAAGTTATTGCAATTTTCAAGGAAGAAACGTAAAATCCTGTCCTGTGGCGCAAATTCAAGATGATGAGACTAGCTGGTTGGTATAAAAGTGGTGTGAGAGAATGAGTGATTTAAACTTGCAGTACAAAATCAGATAGAAAGAGCAGTTTGAAAACTGTAAAAAAATAGAGCTTGCAAGAAGAGTTGTTAAAGATAACTAACAATTTGCATTCGAAAATGATCGAATAAATTTACTTCAGATCTGGTCTTTGTTTGAACCGGAAGTCTTTCTCTAGATATTGATTTGTTACTGAAGACTTCTGATCTGATGATTCACTTTCCATTGATTGACTTCCGTTTGAAATAATTATTCAGTGTTTGCTTAAGCAGTTGTAATTTTTTATCAGAATTCACTTCTTAGTCAACTGACCAATTAATCGCTCCTATCATATTGAAATGGCTAACGAAGCAAAGCTGACTCGGACAAAAAATGCTAACATCATAAGAATTCCCTTAAACTGATATTTCCCTACATTGAACTAGTTCATAAGAAGGAATCTATTTATGTTTCTAGATTAATCAATGCAGGAGACATACCGCAAAGGCGAGAAACAATATCTTCACTGAGCAATCCAGTATTTAACTGCAAATTTGGGATATATGATTTTGAGTAGCTGCAATCCACATTCCCTGCACTTTCTATTGTAACTCTAAGCCCAGTTAAATACAAGACAAAAACTTACATCTGATGCTATCAATATTTTAAGGGTCGAGGTCGGAATTGTACAATTATGCAATTAGTGGATATTGCTGCGCAAATTGCTTCTGGAATGAGCTATTTAGAAGAAAAAAACTTTATCCACCGAGACTTGGCCGCTCGTAATATCCTTATGTCATTCACATTATCTGTAAAAATAGCCGATTTCGGACTAGCACGTTTAATACGCGAAAATGAATACGAAGCACGCGTGGGTGCACGCTTCCCCATCAAGGTTCAAATTATTCACAAGCATTTTTTTCAACCATCAAATGAGTGCTACAACATGAAGAATATACCAAAAACAAACCACTTATATTTTACTGCTTCGAATTTCTTTTACTTGAATTATTTTGGATAGTAAATTTTTGAAATTATTTCGAATAATTGAAATTTTAATTTCATCTTCATTTCTGCTCTAATTTGCTGCAACTTAAAAATCTTGCTTAATCACTATAGTGGACAGCTCCAGAAGCAGCTAGCTATAATCGTTTTACAATAAAATCAGATGTTTGGAGCTTCGGAATATTACTGACAGAACTTGTCACTTATGGTCGATTACCATATCCAGGTAAATTTTCTGCTTATTAATCTTTGGATTAAAATTACCATAACTGTGAAACACTTTATGAATAAAATCAGGCGAACATACATTTAGCTTCAACCAGCTACTTTACCGAATCACTTTCATTGTCCGCCACTAAATCATTTAAAGAAATGCTAATTGACGATGTCCGTCCTTAATGCATGAAATACAAAAGTAATAGTGGCCATAGTGCTAATTTAATATAATGATATCTACAGGTATGACAAACGCGGAAGTGCTTCAGCAAGTGGAAAACGGTTATCGAATGGCCTGTCCCATAGGTTGCCCTCAAGCTCTTTATGATATAATGTTGCAGTGTTGGCATAAAGAACCCGAGAAAAGGCCAACATTCGAGACTTTGCAATGGAAGCTAGAAGACTTATTTGCAGCTGATCCTACTGAGTACAAAGAAGCCGCAATGGCTTACTAATTTATTTCAAAGTACCAGTATTATAATTACCATTATTATTACTGATCCTTCTGTCACATTACAATATCTTTATTGCTGCCAACAAAATCACGGATCTTACAATATTGGTTGTTACCTTTGTGTTTGAAATTATATAAAGCTAATTTTATGGAACAGTCAGAATTAGCTGAAACGAAACTGACTGTTCCTTCCAGTTAAAGAATAAGATCGCTAGAATATAACCCCTCTAAATACGTCAGTACACCGAGAAATGAGTCATCAGTGTTAATCTTCCTAATAACATAAACAACCTCATCCAAATTTTTATCACAAAAAAAATAGAAAAAGATTTACAGGTAGAAAATTTTTTATATTCACTCATTTCTTGGTGATAAAAAATGTTATTCTATTTTTAAGCAAGTCTTAAAATGAATGTAAAAGAACTTCAATGACTTGTTCTTTGAAATTAGAGATATACAATAAATTAAGAAAATAAGTCTTTCTCACAGTCAGTTTGAAAACAAAGTTTCTGCTAACATGAGCACATCATTCTGCCTAACAGGAAATGTAAGAATGCGATAGAAACCAATTTAATCTTTTCAAAATTATTATATTTTTCTTGACGGTTACATTGACTTCATATAAATCATAAATACTAGCAGTTGAAAAACTTTAATAAATCATTCGAAATCCAAAAATTTAACCCTTACAGTCTCATTGATGCCTTATGGATTTGCATGCCTCAAATTATACATAAGATATTAAGGAAGTACCGGTCTTGTCTCAAAAGACTACCATAAATCAGCAAAAAAATCATTTACTATATGAAAAATGAATATAGTGACTTCTAACTTATCACACTAATTATATCACAGGCAATATTCCAAACAGCGAATAGGCTAATATCATCTTTTCTTTTTTTTATTAGCCTTGCCACCACCACCTGTGTTGCCAGCACCAGATTGTAAAACAGATCCACCACTAGCTTGACGTGTTTTTAGTTTTGGAATCATTTCACATGCATATACCATCAATGACAATCCTATAAAAACTAATGAATCGGATTTGTAATATTGAAAAATTTGTAAAAGAAGTACAAATGAAATATCGTTCTGGATACTAACTTGTAGGAAATCTTTGATCATAAATGGAACCATCACTATTTCGCAACTGTACTCGCACTCTACCTTGCGAATTGGCATCACGATTTGAATCCAAGGGATGCATTTTTTGTTTCTGAATAGATAAAAGCGAATAAAAGAAAAATAAGAAATTAGTAGATACAATTTGCAAAATTGTAGAGATATTTTTGAAGCTCATATAGTAATTAGCTTCAAAAATGACCCGTTAACTATGATTCTGCATAGCAATATTAGCAGTTTATAAACCTTCTGTTCAAGATAAGATGTGCATTTCAATTCCCACTAACGCTAGTGTTAAAATTAAGAAAAAAACCTCAATTTTAGCCTTCATGCCCACATTTGTTAAAATGTCAAAGATTTCCTGTGACGTCGGAGAGTCAACTGCCTACAATACATGATGATACTAGGAATAACTTAACAATTAATGTATAATAACAATGATGTAGTATAACAAAGTTGGTCAAAAAAAGTAAATAAACAAGTCAGCAATGCTACTAAACAGAAAAATTTCTTCATTTATCTGAAACTATGACAAAATAAATTGAATAATTAAACAAGAACTATTTTACGATAAAAACAAAACCTTTTTTTTACTTAACCGACGTCCTTGTGCGAGAGTTTTGCGTGAATTCATATACAATGGATATATGCTAATCCATCGAGATTCATCGCTAGCTGGTTTGCTCTTATAATGCGCAGCCATCAAGTCGAGCGGCTGCTTTGCGAGATATCTTCTGATTCTTTTGACCTGAAATTAAATTGCCAAAAAACAAACAAACCAGTTATTTAAAGTAAACGGATAAATGATATAGTATGGATTGCTATAGAGAAATAGTCGAAATATTCATGCACTGAACGACAGAACGTCTCCTTTTGCAATGACGTATTAAGAAATTTCTTTCTTTCCGTCTTCAGAAAGAATATAAATAGAAAGGATGATGGTATATGATCGCGAATTAAACGTCAAGAAATTGTTATTTAAATTTGTCGTAATTTTGGGGAAATTCTGATAGCCACAACTGAACTAAAATCAACGACATAACCACACTATTCTGTACTTCAATTAGATACAAATAAATGAAAGAGGGAGAAGGCACGATTTACCACTTTGACTGGCATGGCCATCAAGTAACCTAACATTAGTATTGAAATTGAGATGCAGTGTGAAAAGTCAGTAGTGGTTGTTTGTTGTGATGAAATTAGGCAGTGTCAGTTATAGTGCAAAGAAGCGAAGACTTAAATTGTAGATTACGTAAGGTATTTAATTAGTATTCTTCGTATTTCAGAGTACTTTTAACATTTTTGTTTACGTGTTCAGTCACTTTTTAAGATTTATTTTCAGATCCACTTGTTGAACAAAATTCCTAATGGATAGCTGCACAGTGGATACTTCAAATGAATCAGAAGAGTTTTACAGTACGCTTAAAATAGTTCATAATCGAAAACAGCGACACGCTGGTGGATGGCAAAGCATCGGTCAGTCTCCATTTCTGTACTAGAAACCTGTATTTATCTGAATTCATCAAATTATATATGCATCTGTCTTTTAATACTCCTTCCACATTAACTCATATTTGCGTAAACTTTTGTATGTATAATTTTATCAAAGTCGTTTGACCTGTCTTGTATTTTAGGTTAAACTGTACTGCTTTGGAGTAAAGCACGTCTAGAATTTTAAATGAAGCCAAAATTTGGAAGATTATATTATATTTTGCCCTCACTAAACAGACAGACAACTTCGTCTTTGCATTTTAGAAAAAAAAGGCTTAGTTTAAGAAGTCTCTGGTATACATAATCGAATACTGATGTAAAGATTCAATAACTTTAAATAAAGATAAGACATTTCATCATAGGTTTGGACTATTCGATTTTGAAGGGAATATTAAAGAAAGGTTTCCACCAACCTACACCTATTCAGCGTAAAGCTCTACCTTTAATTATTGACGGTAAAGGTTGGTATTTTGTTAATGTTTCAAACGTTTTGTTCCTTTGTAGTTTCATACTACCAAATTTAACTTCCTTAAATTATGGCTCGGTAAAGAGTAAGACAGTAAAACAAGCTGAATTCATTTTATTTCTTTTTCAATAATTTATATCGGATTATACAACTGTTCATTTAAAAAGTATGGTTTATATGATTTTGTTATCGGTCTTTGAAGAAGAAATATGATGATTTGTGTTTACTTTCTCTTGATTTAGGTGACATAATTTTATAATTAATGTTTCCTGGAAAAGTAGGCAGTATTGTATAATATTGTAAATCTGCGTTGTTATTGTGATAGTTAACAGTTTTTACCTTTATTGTGCTTGTAATTTTTGGATATCGTTGCCATGTCAAGAACAGGAAGTGGGAAAACGGCAGCTTTTCTGATTCCAATTTTGCAAAAACTAAAGCATCGCGATATGAGGGGCATACGAGCGCTAGTCATTGAACCTACTCGGGAACTAGCAGTGCAGACATTCACAGTCTTAAAAGAGGTTATTTTTTGTCTGCACTTTTAATAGTGTATAATCATTAAAACTATGGCAGTTTTAATCGTATAATTTCTTATATGCTCAGGAATAGCATTTCTAAAAGGAAATGTCATATTTTGATTATATTAGTTGCATGTTTCATAGCTGTTATCTTAAAATTTCACTTATTTGTTCTTCTGATGGTTAATTCATATTAGCTAGAATGTTGGAGACTCTTAAATCCCTAGAAAAGTTGTATGTTGTTACTTGAAACCACTTCTTACACTCACATTTTAATTATTACGACAGATAATTTCCTCAAGCACTCGTTAGGATCAAAGTATTAGTACATCTTGTATTTTTAGCTTGCAAGATTTACCGGTTTACGCTGTGCCATCTTAGTTGGTGGTGATTGTATAGAAGAACAATTTCAAGCTGTTCATGAGAAACCGGACATGTAAATTTTTACTTCTGAAATATATGAATAAAAAAGTTTCCAAGTACTCAAAATGTTGATTTCAGCGTTATCGCAACTCCTGGACGTTTGCTTCATGTTGTAGTTGAGATGGATTTCCGTCTAACAGTAGTTGAAGTCATTGTTTTTGATGAAGCAGATCGATTATTTGAAATGGGATTTTCTGAACAGTTACATGTTGGTTTCTTTATCCATTTGCAGGACATGTGCATGATGACCCGGAATTTATGTTTCATTTCACCTTATTAATGTCATAATGTGAGTACAGTGGAATATCATTACTACTACCCTGAAAATAGTGTCTTCTGACGTCTTTTACCTAATGGATTTAAGTATTTCCATGATAACAGAAGGAAAAGTTATTGAAGGCAACATTTATTCCAAATCATTCTATCAAGACTTCTTTTTCAGGAAATACTAAAACGACTACCCGAAAGTCGACAGACTTTATTATTCTCAGCCACTCTTCCTAAAAGTATTATTGCCTTTTCCAAAGCGGGATTGTCAGATCCAACTTTAGGTACTTTAAAGCTTATGTGTACAAAAGATTTTTGCCATTGTTTCAAATTAATTACTCTACATTACTATAGTAACTTGGTTTTCGAATTATAATGATGTAAATTTGGAAAATTGAAATTTAACAATCTTCTTTGAAGAGTGCAGAAAAAGTTAATCGGCATTTTCTTTGTTCTTTATATTTTATTAAAATACGCATTAAATTTCAGTTCGGCTTGATCTTGAGGAGAAAACAAGCGATAAATTGTCAATGATTTTTTTGCATTGTCGCTCCGATGATAAATTGGCGGCATTTTTACACTTAGCTCGAAAGATCGTTGCGGGAAACGAACAAACTATTGTTTTTTGTGCGACTATGAAGCATGTTGAATATCTTGCTAGTGTAGTGGAAAAAGCTGGAATGGAATGTGTTGTATTATATAGTCAACTGGATTCTATAGCCAGAAACATCAATATTCAGAAGTAGGAATCAATTGTGTCTGCTGGAATTTCCTCGTGTTAAATGTTTTAAGTAACTGCCTCAATGAAATATGCAGAAACTTAGTATTTTCATGAAATGTGTAAATTCTTTGTATCACATGATAGCAGTTCGCTATTTCGTTTTCTAAAATCAGACATTTAAAGTTCTTTGGAGTAAAGATTTCATGCTTTCAGATTTCGTAACAAAAAATGTTCATTATTAATTGTGACAGATATTGCTGCCAGAGGAGTAGATATTCCGCTCTTAGATGTTGCTATCAATTATCATTTTCCTCCTAAACCGAAACTTTTTGTTCATCGTGTCGGTGAGAATTTTTTTGTTCAGTACAAGTTTATTTGATAGAAATGAGCATTATATATCAAACTCTGGGGCAAAATTAATGCTCGCATTCTATTCAGTCTTTTGTTTCAGGTAGAGTTGCTCGCGCTGGCCGCTCCGGAAAAGCTATAAGTTTGCTCAGTACGGATGAACTTCCGTATTTTGTCGATTTATTCCTGTTTCTCAGCCGTCCACTAAAGTTTGCAACAAATTCTTCATCGTATAAAGGTTTTCTGATCTTGCTATTTAAAATACATCACCTTAGTAGTGAAAAAAAGGCGCATGCTAAATGTTCTAGTAGTAAACTGAATTATAGATGATGAGACGTTAATAGGATCATTTCCGGATGATATTATCGATAGGGAAATCGATTTTCTCAAAATTATACATGACAATTCCGATGAACTGGTAAGTTTTCGGAGGTTTGTATACTCTCAGTTTACAAAAGGAAACCTCAAGATGTATTGGAATTATAATTTTAGGATGAGCTGCTGAAAAAATCAGAAAATGCGATGCAAAAGTACAAAAAAACTCGTCCTCAACCGTCATCTGAGTCAGTACGTCGAGCCAAAGATGAAGTTAAAAAAGCATTAGTGGGAGTCTCTGTGCATCCATTTCTGCAACAAAAAACACCTGAAGAATCTAGAAGACAAATGATGCTTCAAAATTTGCATAATTTCAAACCAGCTACGGTTTGTTTTTGCTAAGAACTTTTTTGATACTAAAAGAGCAACTGATTTCTTAATGTATATAAATTTTGCTTACAAATTTCGCATGACTAAGGTGTATTGAAAATTTATGTAACTATAATGTATATATTTTTTCATTATGAATAAAAAATTCAATATTTTTTACTTGATCAGTTCTTTACATTATTTTCTAGATTCATAATTTCAGACCATCTTTGAAATTCAGAATAGTAATAAAGTTCTGTCAGCTGCTGTTATGAAAGAAAAACGTCGAGCTCATCAAAAATTTATACATTCAAAATCTAATTCATTTGTTAATAACAGCGCTGATTTCTCGGGAATAAAATCAACTAGCCTTGACATTGAAGCTGCGGATGACATTGTGGGTAAACAAGATTGATACAGTCGTAGTGTTTTTAAGCTATAGAATTTCTGTTTTAATAAATATTAGCATTCTCTCCCATGATTACCAAAATTCTGTACTGCAATTTACTGTGAACATCTTTTAAGGCTTTTTCAACAAACTGCAAGAACAAGATATCACATATGTTGCTGAGTTGTTTGAAAACAATTTTTTCAGTTTGAAAGATTATAATTTTAGAAAAAGACATTTCTAAACGTTGCGAGAAATGCATACTCTATGCCTCCAAACCATTTGTTTCAACAGAAACAGAAAACGAGAAAACGAAAAGCTACTGAATTATTAGAAGAGAAAAAACATTTTATTGGTCATTTTTAAAAATTTGGAATTTTAAATTTCTATCTAATGAGTTATTCCATATAAATGCAATTTGTAACTCATCCGTAGTGATGCTCGTTTCTAGTAAGGTGGCAAAAATTTAATGACACTTTTAAAGACTTTCAAAGTGAAAATATCAATGCTCTGTAACTTATTTAGCATATGCACCCATGGAGCTGAATACAGAACGTGGATTGGCAATCGATAATGATTTCAATGCGCTGGCTAAAGCAAGTGCTATAGAAATTCTTGCTGATGATGCAGTTAGTCTTTATAAACAGGAAAAGCGCAAGAAATGGTTAGTTGATGTCTGTAAAGATCGTAGACATTACCGGTTATTTAAGATATTTGATTTGTATAAAAATTCGCCACAAACACTGAAAGTGAGAAAATTTCGTTATTCGTATCTTCATTTAAGAATTGTGTACGGATAAACTATCAGTGTATGTGGGATCTAAGATATATGAGTTGAATATTTATAAAAACAACTTTTATTGCAAATTCAGCCTCTAATGAATGAGTTTTCATCTGCTGTTTCAAAATTTATCTTTTGAGGGATAGAAAACTAAAAAAATTCGTTGGTAATGGTGGCGATGACTCAAAAAAAAAGATACGCACGGAAGATGGAACTTATCTACCTTCGACATATAAAAGTGGGCGTTATGAAAGGTGGCAGAAAAAACAGAAACTTGAGTATCAGATTGATGACAGTGAAGTTAATACCGGGACACCTGATATGAGAGTGAAAAAACGAAATAATTTTAAGGTCTGAATTGTATTTGATTTACAACTGAGAGCATTGTTACGGCATAATTTCAATTTTCATAAAGAATATTTCCCCTGTTTACTGTTTTTAATTTACTGTAGTGATATGAAATATTTTGTCTGCTGAATAAATTGTATTTTGAGGGACAAAATAAAAGAAGAGGTCGATTAAGCGGAAGTGACAAGAAAGATGGAATGGTCTCTCGTTCTGAACTGAAGAATCCAGAACAGATCTTGAAACAGAGAAATAAAAAAGCAAGAGTTCAGTCTTATCAGGCTTATCGAAGGCAACAAAATATGAAGAAAAAGCAGTTTAGTGGCGGCAAGAAAAAATAGTTGTTTAGGGTAGATATATCCTTACTTGACATATTTTCCCGCAAACTTCTGCTGTTCCTTTTTTTTCTGACATAAATCTTGTGGAATAAATTGCTGTTAGCTGCAAATATCCAAGTCTTGTAAATCTCACTGTCTGCTAAAGAACTTTTTATTGACGACATACCAAAAAAATATGCAAGGTTAGATGGGTTTACTACTTATTGGAAACTCTAGGTAGATGATGTTATGTAGTTTGATATGGAAGAACGTGGAGTTTTCGATGCCTGCTCTTCAATTTCTGTCTCTCTTTAATATTCTATACATCCAAGACTTCTTTTTCGTGATCCCTGATATCAATACAACTATTATTAAAATGAAGAGAAATAAGCAAGCAGTCAATAACTCATTAATGAATTAATCAAATGCTTAGAAAGTTTTTGTAATGACGAATCAAAAGTCGTCGGCTGCTAATTCTCAACTGTGGTTGCTATAGAAACATCATAAGCAAAGAGTGAAACCAGTAGTCAATCTTATTTTATGAATGCGCGAGCTTATTTACTTATTTGCAGTAGTTCTGCTTCCAATTTTATTCTTAAGCTTTATTTTTATTTCTCTTTCATCTTAATTTCTAGCGAATTCCAAGAACAAAGAAAAAAGCTGTAGTCAAGTATGTCTCAACTTATATTGGTGAATGCAGCATCTTTACTATAATTTCAGATAAATTTCTGCTTCGGCTCTCTGAGCTGTAAATTCGGAAATTCTAGAAATATGACACAAATAGATTTTGTTCAACTGCAAGATTTATTTAAAGAGAATAGTAATGTTGAACTAATTTACTACTGGTACGAGATACTTTCTAAGGTTAGTCCATATTCACTTAGAAGAAAATAAGCTTGTTAAAAGGCAACAAAAGTTAGGTGCTAGTTATAGTACCGGTTCATTGTGAATTATGGAAAAAGTAGTAGCAGAAAATTGCTCTAACAACATTCTTATTATTCTTACCGACAAAACTCAGTATTTCATTACTTTCATTTGTCTCTCAGGGAGTTTCCATTATTTGAACTGGGATTTAGTATGATCCAAAACAGAACGAATCAACAGATCATTTTATCCAAATTATTAAAGCGATGAAGTTTATTATGGATTACAAACATGCGAAAGCGGAGGAGCTGAAAGAAATGGTGGAAAATGAAGCAGCCGAATTAGCAGAAAAACAAGTAGTTTGGGAGAGAGAAAGAGAAAACATAATGGTTTTATATTAAATCCTTCAAATTCCTTCAAGAAATAATTGTTAGAGATTAATATTTGACGTTTGAACAAATATGATAGCCAGATCGACCCTTCGTCACTTAATGATCAGTCCTTCCATTTGTATGCATAAAACAGTAAATTAATCTTAAAGCATCAATCCTTCGCATAAGTTGTTCTTACATTTTGCAAAATACCTTGCAAAATTTTTTCATAACGAACAACGATTCCGTAGTATTTTTATAACTCTACCAGAATTTAGTTAACTTTTCAGCATGAACTCAGCTTCTTACGCGGACGAATAACTCCCAACCCTGAAATTGCTAGTCTTAATGAAACATTCCGCTTACAAATCAACAATTTACATGAAGAAAATGTTTATTTAAACGAACGGAACAAAGAACGGTTCTAAAATTAGCATCTCTTGATCTTATCAACTGATTACTTTCTGCTCTTGCCCTACTCCACAATTGACAGATTGATTAAAAACAAACTTCCGGTTTCTGAATTTTTCAGTTTTTAATACAAATAAAACTATTATTGTTTTGCAGAGATCGGGAAGTGGCCAATCAAAATAATAAAATAGAAATGTTAAATTCTCAAATACAACAACTCGAGAAAGAACGTACCTCACTCATTCAACAAGTAGGTCACTACACTTCCAGGTTATGTGATGGTTTAGCAGAATCACATCAATTTAGACTATTTGTACAAAGATTTATCAGAAGCAAACATGCGACAAAAGCCTTGTAATTTATTATTTAGATTTTTAACATTACAGAATATAATGTTGAATGGCACTTACGATTTATTATTTATTCGAACGACTCAAATAAGTGAACTTTGTTTAATGTTTTAAAGTAAGTCGCAGAAATTAATTAGAGCGTTCCTAAATTTCAAATTCACAACACTTAAGGTTTTCAGTTTTCAGCTGTGAATTGTTTGAAAGTCTAGTAATGTATAATTTACAGCAAACTGTTCTCGATGATACCATACGAGAATTGAACAGACGATTTGAAGATAAAGCAGTCGAGATGTTAACAAGCAACGAAGCTGAATCAATCAAGTTACGCAAACGAACAGAGCAAGCAGTACAATTATCTAAGCAACTTCATGTGCGTAAGTCACGTCTTGTCAAGCTTAAGATCAAAATAAAATACTTGATAGCTATTTTATATTCATATTAATAGTTTAAATAAAATTTTTTTGCAGGAAGTTGTTCAACAAAATGACGAGCTGAGAGCGGAAATTGAACAACTTTCAGAAGCTTTAATATCAGCTACGAAATTTATTGAAGACACTACAGGTAGCTACGAAGATATGCGTAAACAATTACGTGAAAGTGATAAAATAATTGAACGACTCACTAATGATAACGAGTTACTTACTGAAATGAATCGAGTGAGTTTATCAATCGCGATTGTTGCAAGTACTAATTTATAGTTTTCTTGAAATTTTGTTACTGATCCTTGCTGTAAATTCCTCAAATCACTTCAATATTAAAATATTTGTTTTATCTTTAGACCACTTTTCTTTCTCATTTAAATTGAAAAACAGTACCATTTTATACTTATCGCTAAGATTACTATCTAAAATTTCAAAAAAAAAATGTAAGCAATAGACTTTAATGCAAGATGATATGCATTTAAGACTGAGATCAAATAAGAGTCAATATGAAATCAGAAGGACGAAAATCAGATACACCTATAGTATGATAAAATTTGATATACATAATTTGTCTTTCACTTTAATTGACGCTTTCTTTGCGCTCCCTCCCCTCTCTCCTCCTCCCTAAAAAAAAGAATAACTGCCAAAATACTCCCTAATGAATACAAATTTAGGCTGAAACTTCAAAGCAAAAGACTGGGAAACTGGAAGAAGTCAACGAAAAATTAACGGAACATTATAAGATGAGCACAGTTTCTTTGCAACTTGTGTAAAAAGGATTTTAAAAAAATGAAGAATGCTTTACAAACAGGTTCCAAGATTAATGCAGTGACTCAGTTCGTACTGTTGAAAAAAACTACTTTCAGGATTTACTGCGCAACAAAAATGAACAAATCAAAGCTCTGGAACAGAAATTCGAAGCACTGCAGGTTGATTTTTACAGACTTCTCTAAATTTTTCAGATAGTCCATGATACCGGATATTATTTCACAAGAGACATCGTTTGTCAATGCGATGCTGAGAGCGGAAAAAAAATTTAAGACTGAACTAGAAAGTCTGCAAAGTGAATACTTGCAAGCAAGCAATATCGAACGTGAAAAAGAAATTAAAGAATTACGATTGGAACTTGTTAAAGCTACACAAATAGCACGAGATCTCTTCGACACCTCAAGAAAAGATGGTAATCAGTCGAGCGTTAAAATGCAGCAGAAAATCAATGAACTTAATGAAGTTAGTTTTTGACGAAATTCGAAAATTTGAAATTTAAAAAAAAAAAGAACGGAAGCACTTAATTAAATAAGAGCTAAAATTATAAAATTTTTAGAACAAATGAAATCTGAAAAATATAATCAAAAGCCTATGGAGGCTAGAAATTCTGCACTGTAAAAGTCTCATTTTTGCAGTTAGTCAACGTCTTAAAGGCAGAGATCACACAGTATGAGATGAACAACAGTGAACTAATTGAAAGTATCGAGGTGAAGGATGCTGAGAATCTGAAAGTTAACGCTGAATTAAAAAAACTTCGAACGGTACTTTTTATAACCTTTAAACGAAAAAGTGATAAAACATTTTTCGAATTAAAATTACAATTTACTTTTGATGCTTACGAAAAATGTAAAATAATGGCTGCACTTATTTACACAATAACTGTTATTTTATTGAAAATCAGCACAAAATAAAGTATAAAAAGGGAGCTTAGGAAAGTGGAGTTTATTGTCCAAAATGACTTTAGTTTATTGCAAAATAAATCAACTCCTCGTTTAAAAACTGATTTAAATTTCTCATTTTCATGTTTGTTACGTAATAAAATTCGAGAGAATAAAGATGAAATGAATATTTTATTTCTGTAAATAATTTTAAAAATGGGAAAATATGAATAAGTCAAAGCCAATTTGTTCAGAATATAACGTCTAAAATATAACATTCAAATGATGACTTTTAATGTAACTGCAGGCAGTATATGGAAATTCGGAACCTGAAATTGCTCATCTGGAAAAGCAGTTGAGCTTTCGAGAAAAACAAATTGAAAAATTAACAACGAGATGTTCAATGTTGCAAATTGAACTCAGCAATAAACATTTTCATACAGAAATCGCCCAGAAATCGTCAGAGAATGCTAATTTTTCATTGAATTGTGGATCAGAACGAACAGTAATAGAAGAAGACGCGAAAATTGAAGGAAATGAAAAGGAACTCAAAAAATGTGCACGAGACCAAAAGAAGAAATGTCCTGATCAAATGTCAAAAGATCAGAGAAACTTTTGCGATTACGCAAAAAAAGATGAAGAATCAAGTAAAATATTGAACATGAGGGAAGACAAAAAAGAAGAATGTGAACGAAGCAGAGATGGATTAGACAACTGCTTGCAAAGTTGGGAAGCTAGTGCGATGATTATTTCATCGCTAAATCGAGAATTAATGCTTCTAATTCAGGTGCCATTTTGATTTTCTTACTTATTTTAAGCAACAACCAAATACAACATTAAGAGCAAGTATCACGACTTGATTTCAACTTTAGAAATATGCAGAAATGAATTATTTTTCATATTTAGATGAAGTTTCCATTGTAGGAATTGCACGAAAAAGATGAGCAACTGAAAGCTATGGATAAATGTAGTCAGAAAGCAGTAAACAGCATCGATGAACTGAAAATAAGATACTTCAAGCTACAAAAAGAAGTGGCTGAGTACGAAAACCCAAAACAAAGCAAAGTGATCGAACAAATTGTAGAGAAAATGCATGCGTGCGAGATAGAAATAGAGGAGTACAAAGTAAGAATAATAATATGCAAATGGCGAATAACGCTTGCTTTGGTAAAATTAAGTAGAAGTAAGGCGAGAGTACTTCACAGCATTTGATGACTTCATTAAACAACTCTTAATTCAGAAATAAGTTTATTAGTGCAAATTATCTAACAGCAAGTAATATTATTTTCATTTCGCTTCTGCCAAATTTTTTAGAAAATGGCCGAGTATATGAAATTAAGTGGAAACGTAATAGAGCAGAAAATGGAAGAAATGAACCGACAAGTAGTTGCAGAACGATTGCGGAATCTTCGGCTTGTACACAAATTGCAAATTATTGAACGCAACCGGAAAAAGGAAAGCTTAGAATTTAAAAGGCTGCAAAAGAATCATGAAGAACAACGACTCTTACATGCAAAGCAACTCAAAACAGCTAATTATGAATCGGTGAATAATTGTAATTACTATCATCATTTAACTAAAATTAAATGATCAGTACTGATCGGAATTCTTCACAAATGTAGCATTTCGAATTTACCACTGGAAGTAGCTAAAAAAATTCTCAAATACTTCATTTCAAGTTTTGTATTTAGAAAACAGGAAAATATTCACAAAAATGCAAATATTTTCTGTGATATGAACAAATCAAGAAATAAAAAGCGACTTCATTATAAATGGTTGTGAGAGTTTGTTAGTATATATAATCAACTTCCATCACTGTACATTAACAGGACTTGGCAATGATTGAAATAGCGAGCCTTCAGATATTGCTTTTACATTCTGTACCAAAGCAAACTTATGACGAACTTTTATCACAACATAAACGATTACTCATTTTTGGTGACGCTAGCGCAAAAACGGACAGTTTGATAAATAATGAAACAGTGTGTTATTATTATTATTATTATTATTATTATTATTATTATTATTATTACACCATCAATACAAGTGAAAATTTTGAATGCGAAACTGAAATGTTTAAATTGTATATGAATGTAATATAGTATTGGACTATTTTAGGCAAATTTCGAATGGCCGGACCGAAATCTTTTAAAACTTACAGATGAAGACGAAAGTGAAGAACTGAAAGTGGAAAATAGTCATCTTAAGGTAACTGCAGAAGTTAAAGCCAATAATGCAAATTTATGGTTGAAATTGATATTATTTACAGTGAGAATTCCTCTTTATTAGTTATATTTTGTAATGATTTTTTTCTGAAGTTCCAATTAACATATACTTTGTAAATAGTTTTGAAAACAATCAGATAATTTACTTTTTTAAAAGAGCAGGATTCGTAATTATTTAGTAACAAATTTTAGATGAAAGTAAGTTATATTTTATTGCTTCTATTTTGTAATAAACCAACGGATCATTCATTTTTCTATACTTAAACTGACCATATGATTGAAGTCAATCGTAATTTAAGCGCATATATATTTTTAATCCCATAAATTTATAAAAAAATAAGTTTTCAGGCAATGATAGATGTCTTAACAAGCCAAAATGAGTATTGGCAAAAAGAAGTGGAAAAGTTTCGAGAGCAAATGGATGAAATGCGAGATTTTCTAGAAGATGTCGAGAGTGAATCTCAGGTAAAAAGTTTATTAGTTGCCCTAGAGCAACGATTTCTGAAGGCTCTATCGGATCGGACAGAATTCGACCAGAATCGCGCTTATGAGAACCAGCAATATCTTCAACTTCAAAATGAATTTAACAGAAAACGACGAAGTTGGGCTCACCAAAGAAAAAAGCTCGTTCAAGTCGTTAGAGCGTTGCAGTCAATACTTCAGGTAAAAAGCATGCAATCCTTATGACCACTCGAATTTCAGCTTTTTTTCAGTATAACTCCAATCAGTTATATTGTTTTGCTTTGATCACTTTTAGAGTTTAGATTAGTGCCAAAGTTTATTGCAGCGAATGCGGTCAAATTCAATAGATTCAATAACAGTACAACAGTTTCTGGACTATAAAGAAAAAATCGAACAAATAAAAAGGAATCATGCAGAAAGTGAACAATATAAAGAAAAGGTCAGTCTGAGCTCTTGCAAAACTTTCGTAACTTATAATCAGTAACAAGATTGAACAAAAGTGTAACGATCAAATTTTCTGCAAAATTTTTGTGTAAAGTTTTTTTGTCAGGTATCAAGCATATGAGAATTTTCTTATTTCAATAAACTCTTGTCTTACTTTATTAGTAGACAGATAGATAATTAAGCAAGAAATGAAAAACATCGTTGATGAATTTATGATAAGTAACGAATAACTAAGTTGTGCTTGTTTTGTTAGATAAAGAAAGAAAAAGAAGAACTGGACTTGCAATTACGACATGTTGAAGCTCTGCGAAACAGTTACGAATCAGTTCATGAAAATGATTACAACTTGATTCGACTACAAAAAAATTTACAAGCTAATATGTTGAATGTAATAAATGTAACAACACAACTCGAACATGCTGAATTGCAGGTCAATATTTTTTTTTTGTTATAAAAGTCCACTATTCGAATGCTACATAAATAAATGAAAATGTGAATCTTTCTGAATTTTCGAAGCATTTATCATCCATTAATTAATTACTTTGCAGCTCTGATTTTTCATGCCAAATTTTGTTCAAATAAGTTCTTACATTCTTTAGCTACAGCAAAACTTTTGCTCTCTGTTTCCTAAAACCGATGCTAATCCACCGAATCCCCGATGAAAGGAGAAAATTAAATTACGTTTTACACGTATTAAATGCACAGAAAATTATTTTTAAACATTTTCAAGTTTTTAAACAAGTACAAATACTGTTAAGCACTTTGACCATTGCAGATTAAAAAGAAGGATGCACAAATTCAACAGTTATCGGAAATGGTGGAAACTTTACAAAATGAAGTCAATGATTTATCCATAGCGAATTTCAATGTATCCGGATTTGATGATGAACTAAATGAACAGATATGGAAATTAGCTGATCCCACTCTTTTAATAAGCAAGAAAGTAGAAGAAAAATTTGAATTGAAAAAACCGATCACTGAAGACCTTAGTAAGGATGAGATTGAGTTGACGAATGAAAAAACAAAACAAACGACAAGCGATGAAGTGGCAAAAGATTATATCGATAATGATTTCGACGTCAATTATCAGAAAGATATAGTTGAATTGGTTTCATCTGACGCAGCTACAGAAAATGGAAAAATCACTTACTCTAGTGAATATATTAAGAAGTTGAATTATATCCGTGAGACGGCTAAATTATGCGTTGCAAATTACAAAGTTAGTTATCAAAATTTCTAGTTTTTGAAGAAAAAAGATTGCTGGTCAAAAGTTTCAGTACTGCGTTAATTCAAACATGAATTTAACATTCTCAATTAAAAACGAAGTGATAAGTGTCGAATAAGCAAGCAATAATTGAAAATGAAAATTTTGAAGTTTTTTCTTTTCGAATGAATGACAATTCCACGAGTGTGCTTCTTCATAATCTCTATCAAGTAGACTAAATGATTAAAAAAGTTTTTGAAAAATAGCGTAACTTTTCAAATTATAGGAACAATTGAAATACAAGGATGAGGTCATTAAGAAGTACAAAGGGTTACTGCAAAGTGCTGCAGAAAAAGTCAATGACAGACAAATGATTCACATTTGGAAGGAAATCGAAAATCCAACATTGCGGAATGATGTCGAAGAGTTAAGTAAAGTTAGTCAAAAGTTCTTAACTCAGAGTGTACAACAGTTGCAAAAGGAACAAGCAGATGCATGCAGTCAAACCGATTTTTCCTGGATGCAAGATCAGGATATCTTTAAGATTTCGGAAGATGAGAGGAAATCAATGCTGCATAAAAAAGAACTGGATGCAAGTAAAAAAAATGAAGGAGTTCAAGTAAAGTTTTGCTGTTCTTGTCCGATTATTTATTCTGCAAAAATTCCGCAAAGGATAACAAACGAAGTGCAAAATGATACGCTGATGGAAACATTACGACGTGAGCAATTAACACTGACGGAAATGCGAATGGAAATGAAAGAAATGAAACAGCGAATTACTGCGCTGACTGCTAGAAATAACGTATTACTATTTATTTATAAATAAGTTAAATTTCATTTATAAATATCAGAAAATAACATACAATTTGTGCTTCATTTTTGCTGTTTAAGACTTGCAGTAGGATTAAATTAAGAGCTGTGATATAGTTACAATAAGTGAGCCTAAATAAATGAATATTAAACAAGTAGAAAATGTGGAAAGTGAAAAGAAGAAATGATATCTTTTAATATTGAGGAGTTGGAACAAGCATGCGAAAGTATTCGCGCTGAAGCATTGGCAGAAATCAAGGAGAGCTATACGACGAATAATTACTCGAAATCAGGAGATGATATGTTGAGGTTATTTTTCAAATATATAAAACATAATTTATTAACCGCAGTATTTTCTCTCCTCTGAGATGTTACTGAAAATTATAACGGTTTTTACACACTGGATGCAAGTTGAAATTGAAAATGTGGGAAGAAGAATTAAAAGCTTTGTGAATTAGAGAAAAGTCAAGAATTTTCGCAAAGGATTCTGATTTCTGTTTTATGAAAGTTATTTCCAACTGTTTGCTTGGAATTTGCAGTTTCAGGTTTGAGGAGACACTTTCTGTTCTTCGAGTTGAGTCTGAGAATCATAAAAAAGTGATCAGACAGCAAAATGAAGTCATTGACCGCTTGCAGAAAACACAGCCAATTAGAAACTCTGAGGTTCATTTGCTCATTTTTTTTCCTTTGCAGAACATTTTTAAGAAAGTTTTATTTCACAGCTGCGAAGTGGTATCAATGTTTGATGCTAACTCTGTAGTTTTTCTGATAAAAATGAGTGAATAATTCATCTAGTAAACTAGCTTTATTTTGTGTTGTCCTTTTGCTATTTAGCTTTTGGATACTACAAAATGGTGCTGAATGTTTGCTTAATTATAACAGCATTCAGCAGTAATATTTGACAGCAAGTCCAGTTTGTGTACAGTAATTTATATTACTAAGTGTATACAGTTTTTTAAACTATAGTTATGAGATTTTTATCAAAGATTGATCATTCTGCTTTGATCCTATTACACAAAATTATTCTTAACAGATGAAAAGTACAACTTTTAATAGAAAATAATTCTTACACACATCTCCATCTGCTTACAATAATTTCAAAGCAATTTGTAATAAAAAAGAATGTAAACATAATGAAAATAAGCTCACAATTTTTGGAGTAATTCATAATTTCAATTTGAGAAGGAAGTGGCCAGATGGCGTGAAAAGAAAGCTCAAGAAGGAAAGTTGAATTCATTGCGGCAAAGGGTAAAAGAAATGCAGGTGCGAGAAGAAGAAATGAAGGAAAAAGTAAGGAAAAATGAGATTCAAGTGGAAGAACTTCTCAAAGCTGAAAGTGTTAGAAGTAATGAGATTCAGCGACTAACAGCAATAATGAAAAAATTGAAAAATGACAAAGAAATGAGCGATTTGCAACAAAAAATCTGCAACGATCGTTTAAAATCCGTCCAAGAAATGAACAATTATTTGAATAAAAGAATCGCTCAGTTGAAAACAACATTTCCACTTCCATATCCTTCTGTAAGTTCGTCTAACCGTCGTCACTGCTGCATAACTATGTGTTATTATTTGCTTTATAATAATAAAGTTAATAACAATAATAATTATTATTTATTATTATTATTACTATTAAGATAATAGTGGCTCATAGTGATTCAACAGATAGAGTCTTTTAAAATAATTCCCTCATGAATAAAATCTACTACATTAACAAATATCTGGGAAAAAATATTCAGTAGTAGTAGTAGTAAGAAACATTAATAACAGTTAATACTGGACACAAACGCTCACAAAATATACTAAAAGCTACTACAGAAGGCACTAAGATGTACTTTCCATCTCCAATACAAACTTTGTTCATGCTGTCTTTTTTGAATAACAAAATTTCACGCCAAAAAAATCATCAAACCCGTCATTTTTTCTCTGATGTGCTAGAAATTACTACAGTTAGCTAATTTTTGCATGATTTGACGAATATTGATGAAGCACTGGAGAAGAGAATGGATAATTTGGAAGCACCGATTCAAATTGACGCGTATGCAGTGAAGATAAAAGGGGATATATGCGAAGAAGAATTGGATGAACTGCGTAACAAAGCTAAAGAAGTTGATTTTTTACTTTGCCTATTTCTTGAAAACGTGTGAAGAAATAGCACCAATTCAGTTTGTCCATATTATCCTAACTCGCTGCTACTCACTTTTAGTGGCAATAATTCTTCAAAAGCGCTGGTGGTGAAATCTTTTACACGTAATTTACAGTGTGATGAGTTGTTGAAACGATTAACCGTAAAAGAGATGGAAATTGAGGAGTATCGAGAAGAAATACAAATACTGCAGAACAAAGTTAATCAGCGAAAATATGACTGTGGTGCCGTAGCCGTCCTCCGTGACAAACTTATGGCAAAGGAAAAATTCATCCAGCAACAAGTTCGGATTAGTTTATCATAGTTCAAGCAAATAACTACTACCAGTAGTTAAGATTCTCTTTCCAGAACCACACTCGTTAGCATAATCACAGCAATTCTAAGTTTAATTTTGCCTTTTCAGCAACAGCGAATCGATGAGTTGGAACGCGAAAAATGGCAGAATTCATTATAGTTGTTTGCAAGAACACTGTACTTTGCAAATTGTTTTATTCTGAGACCTGACAGCTGAGCCATACATCATTTAATATTTTGGTAATCATGCAAAATCTTTCCAAAATAAACCTTTCGTCAAATTCAATTCCTTCATTCTCAAATCCTCAGTCACGATGCTCATTTACTTGCTTGCAAACACAAGGTATTCATTCAGCACTGCCACAGACAATTAAAAATATATAAAATGTATGCTTTCCATACACGAGAATGTATACGCAGTTCTAACCAAAAATTCTTAAATTTCACAACAAACAAACTGTACACAAAATACAAAGAATACAAGGATGAATCACTTGATCTCATTAGCATCGGTAAGCATGTTTGGAATGCCATCTCGAATAGGAAACACTCTTCCACTTTCTGGGCATTTCAGCTCTCCCTCGATGATTTCTAAGCAAACCAGCAGACGGTGTAACTCATTCTTTAATTCCTCGTCATCCAAAGCTACGGGTAATGCCTGCGGTAGTTTCTCACCTTCACCAACAGCCAGTGCTGCTGTTCGAAATGCATCATAATTGATCTTCTGGACCGTTCTTTGTATGAACTGCTCATTATAATCGTGTTGTTTGATTTCTTTCCTGGTTGCTGTCAAAATCAATGGATACCCTTCTGTAACACCTTTCAAAAACACCGAAGACAGAAAATTATGTGTTAGCAGCTTCATTAGTAACTTCTTCCAAACTTCAAATCTAAACACAAAGTTTAAAAAGTCTTCTGTTAATACGCACATGGATAAATTGAATAACTCTCAAAATTCGCGACGCAAGAAATATGACGTCCCCAAATCAATTGTCCAATCAAAAATCAAGCTATCTGAAGTCTTAATTTCAAATATTGACGCCTTCCAAATACGAATCTTGAGAAATTGCTTCGGTTCTCTATCACTGGAACTAAATCATGCTCAAACTCATTAATTTAAAGTTTTTTATTATTCCAAATTTTTTTTGACAGCAAAACAATCCTCCCTCAGACTTCACAAAAATACCAAACGAAAATGCGTAGTGGATTAAATAAAGGTTATCTCTAACATATCTAGAATCTTTTGAAATATCAAAAAGCACGGTATTTTTAGTTAAAAATGCATAATTCACATATTCTTATTGTTCACGCAGAATATATAAAATTTAATGGAATTCGGTAATTTAATAATTGGTACAAGATGTTCTTTTAAAAAAAAGACGTGAATAAAAATGAACACACATGAAACAATGTTAAAATGCTTTTTCAAATCAAATAATGTTCAAAATCAGAAAAACAAACGAACAGAACTAGAATATTTCAGAAAATACACAAATCTTAGTTCAGACGATATAAGAGAAACACCATTTAAGATGAAAGTAAGGCAGCGAATCAAGGAAATTACGCCCACCCTCACAATTCAAGCAGACACCATCTAGATCGGAAACTTCACTTTCGAAAGTATAAGCAACCTTGGATTCGATACCTTGAATGAGTTACAAGTCAGAATATCAACAGCATTATTTCCTTTGCACTCGAGGATATGTAATCAAAAGTTGTTTTAAAATAGAGTTAACAGATCAACATAACTCAATGAATTATTGAAAAAACATTAATAAAAGATAACTGGGTATAACAATAACATCTTACTCTTCACCAAAACAAAGGGATGGACGACAATATGCTATGGACTCAGAAATATAGTAATAACCAGTAAAAATATTTTCTTGCAACAATAACTCTAGCAAACAAGATTGTAATGAACTGCAACACAAAGAACAATTTTATACCCGAGATCTGAAGCTGCTTCCAAGAATAAAGAAAAAAAGAAAAGTACAATAAAGGTCGCATAACAGCATTCAGTGAATCAAAGAAATTAATTCTCCACACGTTGCAATATTGAAAAACACAGCCACACCGAACAATTTTCGAATAAGTAATGAAATAGATTTAAGTAAACAAACAGATTTGTAAAAATCATTATAAGCTACACATGTGCAGGAAATGTTGATTTTAACAAAAATCTTCTGAAATATGCGACTAGTGGCCTCCGAAAATTGTTGAAAAATCCATAGAAACCAAATTACAAACTGAAACATGTATACGACTACTTCGAAATTATTTCATAATCTGGTATGATTTTATACCGTTGGGTTCAAAATGACTTTATTTTGATAACAAATTAAGCGCAGAAAAATTCAATTTTGCTACTATGATTAAATAAAGAAGAGATAAGAAATTAAGAGCATGTCACATACACAACACTCTTCATTCATTTACTTTTTAAGATGAATATGGTATGGTTTAAATAAGAAATCAATTTATAATAATTCAAATTTTGAATCGGAAAGTTAATAGAAATCTTAATGCTAAATTTAAGAATAGACTTTACGGTTCCAAAAGGATAGTTTTGATAAATGAAACGAAATTAGTATCAACAAAAAATATAACGGCACTATATTAAAACAAATATGACCATATGCGATGCATTCATCCTTACTGAAATTAAAACTATTTGCGCATTCGTCGTGCCTTCAACATCTTTCTTGCACTCGTTGATGTCGATCCAACTGAGAAGAAATTTGGTGTCGACTCCGAATGATTTCTGTTAGAAAAATTTTAGTAGTCAATTCAAAATTGTACAAAAATTAAATTCTAACATATTTTGGAACGAAAGTTGAATTCATTAACGATTTTTTAAATGTAGTTTATATTTACATTTCGCCGCATCATGCAGTAAAATAACGAAGTCGAAAACTGAAATCTTTTAATAATGGATGAACTTGATGAAAAAACCGTAGACAATGGAAATGAATCTAACCCAAATGAAGCTGCAGGAGTAAAATTGAATGATGAAGTTGAATCTGAAAATTACCAAAATGTATATATAATGTAGCATAAAAGATGGAATAAAAAGTAAAGATTTTCATCATCACAAAGAAATAAATAAATAAAATCGGTAAATAAAACTGGTTATATGAATAAGAATAATACTAACTATTTGAAAGTTGCTGACCACCAAAAGCAAAATTTAAGGGCGGTGCAGTTGATCCAAAAACAAATCCTGTACCACCATTTGATGCGCTGCTACCAAAATTGAAAGTTGATGGAGGTGATGTTAATGAAGCTGGAGACTGGAACGGTTTCGAATCAAGAGACGATTGCTGCTGTCCAAATGAAAAAAGTGGGGTGCCAGGTATACCGAGCACGCCAGGCATTGTTGTTTGAAGACTTCCAAAGAGTCCTCTAAACAATGTAACCAATACATTATATTTTGTCAAATCCGTTATTTTAACTTTCTAAAAAATTATTGCAGTTAAATTCCAAATTCTCAAAATATATTTGAGGCATCTAAAAATGAATTCCATCAATCATAATTTTAATTAGCTATAGAACGAAATAACAGAAATAACAACAAAATGAAAAAACGCACCCTACTGAAGTAGATATTGAAGCATTTGAAGCCCCAAAACTGAATATGGGAGCAGTTGACGATTTACTTAGTCCAAATATTCCCACCTCATTTGAGGTTACTGGTGAGGTCACTGGCGAACTCATTTCAACAACATCATGATTTTCAGAATTTACTGTTGATCTATCCACAGCTCCAAAAAGTGGTACTAAAAATGGAACATTAACAAACTAATATATTACACTAGATTTTATAACAGTCAAGTATCACACAAGATGCGATGCAACAATAAATTAGTATGGAACTCTCAAGTTTTACATTTTGGAGTAGAAAAAGTAGGCACAGTTGATTCTGATGCTGGTAACGGAACAGCTGAAGTTCCAGTAGATGCACTATTAGTAAGAGCTAACGATGAAGCAGATGAACCGAATGTAAACAGCGATGGCACAGATGTCTTGCAGATTTCAGCTGGGGATGCCTCAGTGATTACAGCTGTTGGAATCTTACCCATATCAGTTGTTGAAATCATACTAACTTCACCAGTAGGTACTTTATCCATTGCAGCTGAATATAAATCACAAGAATTATATTTCAATTACAGTCATACATCAAATACAAATATTTTCAACGTTTCTCGATGAACGAGAGAAAATTTACCTGATGTAGTATTAAATGAGCCGAAATTAAAAGGATTCATGGTTGTTGGGATTGAAATTTTAAAAATGTTTTCAGAACGACCAGTTGCTATAGATGTTGACGACGTAGAAACTAATGATGGAAATGAAAACGAAGAGCTGATCAAAGGAATTGCTGATGTTGTCGTTGAAGAAGAAGGAATGCCAAATCTCAGGGTAGGAAATTGGGGTTGTGAAGACGGTAACACAGCGGGTTGTGCTGAAAGCATTTCATGCAATAGTGGGAGGATTAAAAAAAGAAATTACAGAATACCACCAACTCTGATAAATCTTAACGATTTTACGCTAAAATGCATACTTTCTGTTATGGCTGGTAACGAAATACTTGTTTCAGGGATTTTTCCGAGGCCAAAACTTGGCATTGAAGCACTTGATGTCAATCCAAATTTCAATGTGGACCCAACATTAGCATTCCCATTTACCGCAGGTAATGTACTTTGAGCTGTGGACAGTGATGGCAAGCATGTCGATATTGACGCCGTATCCATTACTGGTTTTGTGGTAGGAAAACCAAACAAAATGCCTTCAACCCAAATTATTGAAAATGAAGACATAAAAAACAAGCCTAATTTAACGATTCAAGATAGGTCGTCTTGACACAATATTATCGAATTACAAAACAGCACAGTGGGTATAAAAATAAACAAAACAAACGAGGCATGTAGTTCAATTCTTACAAGAGCCCGAAATTGTGTTGCATTGTTTGATGCTCGTCGAAATCAAAAATGTATAACATACCTTGAGTCGTGAGATGTGGTTTGAAAGCGTGATCACCAAAAACATTTGTTGAAGTACTATTTTCTGAAATCGATTCAACCTGCTTCGTGATACTTTTTCGACCTTTTTTAACACAGCCACATGATACACATTTATCAACATCTAATTTATTCGGAACCCAACATTCATCACACGTCCAATGCTATAAAAATTTTTCAATTAGAATTTAAAAAGTGCATTAGCTATAACTGCAATTTTCTTAATAATAAACAGTAAAATAAGACTGACATTACTTAATTCAAAATATGCATATAACCTTGGTGATGCCATGTTTTTTTTCATAACCACAGCAAACACATTTTTCGATATCACCTTTAACGAAAACCATACACTTGGGACATGACCATTGTTCACCACATTGCTGCAATGACGGTTTAGAATCTAATGCACTCGATGTGGCTTTGTCAACCGCCGCAGGCTGAAATAAATAAGTCACAATATTTGTTCAATGCCTAAAATCAAACAAATATATGAAATACAATAATACAAACCATAAGCGTGACAGACTTTTGAATAGCTGGATTTTCTTTGATATCCACAGTACCATGTAATCCTACAAAATTAAAAACACATCAAAAACTCATCACAGTTTTACGGTCTTGTTTTTCAAACAAAATTAAATGCAAACACTACCTTCCGTGTTTTTTCCATCTGCAGTTAGTGACATTCTGGTTCTTTGCACTGTCACAGGAGTGTCTTCCGAAACACTGACTGTATCACTCACAGTCGGGAATGAAGAGGATCGAGGGACCTGTAGTGGATTCAAGATGACCCCTTGCTACAACAAAATCTTTAGCCAATAATTTTATGTACCTTTAAATAACATATTCAAATGGAATCCCAAAGAAACAAAAATGGCACAAAAAGTACTTTAAGCACATTTAACCTTTTGAGGAATTTCTTCACACTGAGCACTGATAAACGGTCCCCGTCTCAAAGGAGGAGCAAAAGGAAACAAATCTTCATCAATTTCAGTTGCAAGTACCTGAAGTTAATGAAAATGTCAAGTTTGTAATTTTGAATGAATGACGAAATGAATAGAGAGAATGAATCTAAGGGAATCAAAATGATTGGAACCTCGGATTTCACTAATACATTACAACTGAAAGTGATTAAAATACTAGTTAGTTTGAAGATAGTTATCAATTACCATTTCCTCCTTATCATTTCTCTTCACTTCTTTAACAGGACTCGAAATATCTAATTCCAGCGCCTTCGCACTAAACACATTGTTCGTTTTATTCGATGACGAACGCGATACTGATATGTCTTGAGCTTCAACGGCTGATGCCGTAGATTTCGAGGAAATTGTTGGCTTTTTTTGGTCATCGATCAATGATTCTGATGACTCTGGCTTTTGTGAAAGATTCATAGGACTCGTATATTTTAATGATAAACTTGATGAGTTGGGAGACAGAACTTTCTCGCAATCACTCTTTTTTGCTGTACGTACAGCACTGTAATCTGTTGTTTGAATATTATGCGACAAATCACTGAAGGGATCCATGATTTTGTTTGTATTAGTAGCACGACTCCTTCAATTAAAAGGTTCATAACAACACAGATCTGCATGAGCGTTTGTGAATTTTGATTCAAAATTTATGCTATCTACATAGTTTTAGACTTCATACCGAACAACCGCATGTTGAAAACAAGAAACACATGCATGTAAGAGCTTGGATTTTTTAAAAGACTTACTTGGACTGAAATAAAATCCAGTTTTGAATAATAATAAAAAATGACTTTGTTAAATTAAATACTAACCAAAATACTGATGGCGATTTAGTATTGAGAATATTGGATATCATCTGAGCACGAGATAAGGAGCACATAGAATTTCGTGGTGGCTTTTGAATTGCGTTGCTGACAAAATCATTTGCCCAACGTTCAGGCTCATTGAAATTGATAGGTAATCGATTTACTTCCTGATAAAAATTGTACTAGCTCAGATCCTGATTCCAATGAATATTTTAAAATATCCAATTACCATACATTAACAGAAGAAGATACCAGTATGTCGCTAAAATAGAAAGGAGTTTCTGATACAAAAACCAACCTTGACTGGTGAGCTGATTTTCTGTAACTGCTCAAGAATAGCACGTGTTTTGCTACTTAATGATGAGGTCGCTACGCTGTGAGTACGTGATGCATTTGGTTTGGTCGTTGAGGAACTTACAGGAGTGAATGACGAGACAAATGATTGGCTGATATAACTTTTCGGTGCTGGTACATCAGAAAATGAAGATGAAAGAAACGACTGCAAAAAAATATGCAAATTTTGTTTTACTTTCGCATCAGCTATCTAAAACAAAATCTAATAACAAACTGGAAATGTTATCGGATAGAAAAAAATAGAAAAGTTAACCAGTGAAAATAGAGTGAATAGTTACAAAATCTTAAAACTAACTTGTCGATCGGTTAAATCTCTCTGCATTTTTGAGCGTTTCGACAAAGGACCACTATGAAGAGATCCAACTATTGATGACGTAATCGTTTGCTCAACATCTGACACTTGATTATACGACAAGATACTTGTCGCTGCACGTTTTCGCTGAAATAAAAAACATAGTCATACCAAGATCAAGAATAAAAACGTTACAGAATGCAATTTTTTAAAATGAAAATCCCTAATTCGGTGAGATTCTTGAAACTACACATCTTTTATTCACGTTCAAAAATTCCTATAATTTACAAGCACTTCAAAATTTCAATGAAAACTAAGTTAATTTCAATAATTCAAAATAAGCTGGACTCTAGTAATCATAATAATCAATACATTTCTGCTATTAACTGAGGCAACATTTACAGATGACAGAGTTGATGGACTTAAATAACGAACTGCTCGTTGTTTTGATGCAAATTTGCTTTCTGAAAATCACACTGCAGTTAAATGTTCAAAAATAAAAAATTTCCATCCAAGTCCGTCGAATGTTGGAACTACTTAAATGGCAAATAGGACAGTTACAATTGATCCAGTGAACTGTTTTACTTCAAAATTTGTATACAGACTCATTGAACTTACGTGTCGCATAAATTCTAGTTCACTGGTAGGGAAGCATACACGCGAATGATTTTCAAGAGTCATTACTAGAAATAATGCAGTTGTATCAATATACTGCTGCTAAACTGCATCATATCATTTCTACAAAAATAACGTGAAAAATATAATCGAATAAAAAATACTCAAAAAAAACTCTAGTACCTGGTGTAACAGATGGTCCAGCAGACATAGTTTCTATAACAATACCATCATTCTCCTCACCCACATCACTGTCTCCCTGCTCTTCATAAGATGTATTCTGATTAGAATTCCGACTGTCAACAGATTTATCTGATCTTGTAACTAATTCCGATGATGAGCGTGACCAAAATCCTGATATATTGCCAACTACTGAAGATAACCAGTTACCCGTTTTTCGATCTGCCATTTTACACAGTCGAAACACACAGCTTATAATAACTTCTCGTTCAATATATCAGAAACGCTGGCCTATTTTTGAACTGTATAATCTAAAAACTTAGATTCAGGTTAGTATCAAGTTGAATAATGAAAATGCATTTGCTGTACCGAATAAATGTGATGATACAGTAAACAATCTCTGAATTTAAACTAAATCTCGAAAATTTTTCATTAAGTAGAAGCCAAACAGGAAGCAACCAGCAACATGTCGACGATTATTCATACTGAGATACTAATATGATGTAGACATTCAGTGATTCTAACTTTTAGTAATGAAGACGAAAATCAAGTTAATTCTAAGTACCAAACTATGCAAAAGATCTAATCGAAAAATGAGGGAAAGGTAAGTAATCAACAAAGTAGAGAATACCAAATTTTAAAATAAAATGTCAAGATTACAGGAAAATCAGAGTGATTATTTGAGAAATCTTTCAAAATAAAATCAACTTTTCCATAGTATAGTATATGCACTTCCATAAGAGCTAAGCACAGACATTGGGTCAGTATGATAGCTAGACTGATCTCCTTAAACAAGAGAATCCTTATCAAAGTTATCCATTCGTTATATCATGAAACAATAACGCAATCGATAGAAATGTATTAATGCACCCAAGACAATATCACTAACTACTATGCAAAAAAAACGGAACACAATCTCTTCAGCTGAATTTTCGATAGAAAAATTTTTTTTTCTTAGCTGAAGAGATTGTGTTCCGTTTTTTTAAAATGTGTGCATTTTAATTTATAGCAACGAGAATGCATAAGACATGAAATTATAGACCGATATCAAATTTGGTGATTGCAAACGCCTAAATAGAAAGCCTTGAAGAGTTTAGACGACGCTATGCAATATTGGACATGCTACAAAAC